TCGAGGCCAGTGTTGAATGTTAATCAAAGGCATGTGGTGGGAACAGGCATTGATTCCTTTAGGGTGGAGGGGGTGAATGCACATAGTTAGCGTTCCCTTAAGCCTGGGTTGGGGCTAGTATAGAGAAGCTGTCATCATGGAGGGATGATTAGTTCAGACCTTAGTCAGAATTTTGCCTCGCAATTTGTGTAAGTGTTTTTAGTCAGCCAGCTAGATAAGATAGTTTTGTTATTTCCTTGGCTTCTGGGCAGTCTTTAATTTGTGTAATTATTTGATGTCTTTTCTTCTAACAAAACCTTGTTTTTAAATAAAGTTTCTTGGGCCTTGATAAGAACTGGCTTTGGCTCGAGTTTCTGAACCTCCTAATCTTGACTGCACTTTTGAAAGTGGGTCGTTCAACACAAACTCCTTCTCAAAACTCAACTTTCCCATGTAGCCACCAGAGCAAACCCCATACAAACAAGCTGCTGGTGTTCATCTGAAAGCGACGTCCCATCCCACACACTGGAATTTGAAACCAGGTCCCCAGGAAAATACCAGACTATTGCATCAGAGCTCAGGCTGTGTACACACAATACCTTCAAAATATACTCAAATGAGATTCTTTCCCACAAGGAATTCTGGGTACTGTGGTTCGTTGACGTTTGCTGAGAATTGTGAGGGTGGGGAAAACTACAGTGCCCAGAATTCCTTGAGAGAATGTGTTCTGAATGTGCTTTAACATGTGGAGTTTCAATGACCCAGGGGCTCCATATCTGTGGAATGGTCTCTCCAGTGAGGTTTGCCTACTGCACTCAATAATCTCTTTTGGGTGCCAGAAAAAGACTTACCTCCTCCGCCCTCGGTTTTTTATGGACTTAACTGATTTTATTCCACTTCCTGTGACTGCTGTGTGTGTGTGTGTGTGTGTGTGTGTGTGTGTTGCAGATGTTTAATGAGACGCTTAATGTTTTATATGAATATTGTAATGGCACAATGCATTTATGTTTATGCTTTTAAATGCACGTTTGCTTGGAGACCTTGGTAGCGAGAGACTAGTCAATATTAACATCAATAACACTGCAGGTGAGTGTGGCTTCCATCCCTGGTGCCCTGATCATTCAACTTCCCAAGAATGTAGCGTTTATGGCAATCACATAAAGCTCTTGAGGTGTTCCCCCTCTCAGTACTGGCTAGTTTTAGCTTAAAATAAAAAAGCTCTAATACTTGGAGACTTAGGGAAGTTAAACAGTTAAAAGATTCTATTTTACAACAAAATTGCTAAAACAAATTTTTTATTTATTTATTTATTATTATTATTATTATTATTATTATTATTATTATTACCCCACCCATCTGGCTGGGTTTCCCCAGCCATTCTGGGCAGCTCCCAACAGAATATTAAAAACACAATAAAAAATCAAACATTAAAAATTTCCCGAAACCGGGCTGCCTTCAGATGTCTTCTAAAAGTTAGATAGCTATTTATCTCTTTGACATCTGATGGGAGGGCATTCCACAGGGCGGGCGCCACTACCAAGAAGGCCCTCTGCCTGGTTCCCTGTAAGTTGGTTTCTCGCAGTGAGGGAACCGCCAGAAGGCCCTCAGCGCTGGACCTCAGTGTCCGGGCAGAACGATGGGGGTGGAGACGCTCCTTCAGGTATACTAGGCCAAGGACAAGATATGTCAGGAGATTTAAATTCTTTCAAAACAGTTAACTCTCTCTCTCTCTCTCTCTCTCTCTCTCACACACACACACACACACACACACAAATTCAGTGGATGTTACAGGCTTCTAAACAAGATGGTAAATGTACAGCTGATTTTTACTTTGTTTTCCTTAAGTTTAGGTCTTAAAACTTGGGGTTTCTAAAAGAAGGTGGTACTTTCTGTCAGTTTTCCAACCTTCTCTAAATCTCTCTCCTGGGGCTCCTCTATTAGTATACCAGACCAGGGGATCACCACACTCCTCCTAACTGGTTTGGGATTGTTCTTCTCTTTCTCGAGAAGATCTATCCCCTTCTCACTGAACTGAGACACAAGTAGAGTGTTTCCTCACAACTCCACTTCTCCTTTCCTAAATTCTGCATCCCAGTTCTCACTTGTCCTTATACCAGTGTTTCTCAACCTGTGGGTCCCCAGATGTTGTTGGGCTACAACTCCCATCATTCCTAGCCAGCATGACCAGTGGTCAAGGAAGATGGGAGTTGTAGTCCAACAACATCTGGGGACCCACAGGTTGAGAACCGCTACTCTATACTCTTAAAAGACACCAGTCACTCTCTGTTAATCTAACATCCAACTCAAGAGACCTCCTTCTCTGGCTGTAGATCTTTCTCAGGGTGGATTTTACACACAGCTCAGAAGCTATACCCTTATCCAGCAGCCTTTCTCAAATGTGGCTTGGACATTTCTGGACTACCAGTCCCATCAGCTGACCATTGGAGTCTGAAAGCATCTGGGGAGTCAAGGCTGGAAAAAACTGACCTAAAAAGAAGAGCCATGTTATCAGGGCCGGCCCAAGACATTTTAGCACCTGAGGCGAACCACAAAATGGCAGAAAAGAAGGGGCGAGCGAAGATCTGCATCAGGAATAAAGGGGGAATAAGCACCTGTTGCCACTGTGGATCCTGCGGTCTGAGGCAGTTGCCTCACCTTGCCTCATAGGTGGGCCTGCCCTGCATGTTGTACAAGAGAACTGCAGGACCCTCAGCAATCTTAATATTTTGGTGAGGATCCAAGCAGAAGGGATGCCTGTTGTGTTGAATTAACACCGGTACTGCTAAGGAGAGGCTTTTTGGCTTCCCCCACCTCCCTGCCACTCTTCTTTCCAGCTTGTTTGGATGCCTCAGATCAAGCTCTTTATTAAGTGTAATCATGCTCAATTTGTTCCACTAATTATGTGCAGCTGGGTGTCAGCCAGACAGCGCCACAGATGATCAGATTGCTGCTTGTTCCCAGTTCCCAAACTTTCCCTGCCTGGTGGATGCAATAGAATTTGGGGCTTCGGGTGTCCTTCTTGGTTACCCAGATTGCCTTTAAAAAGAAAATAATAAATTGGTGGAGCTGAAGGATGGCAAGGAGCAATGGAGGAGTATTTTGTAGTCCTCTCTTCATCTCCAAGTAGGATTTTCCAGTTTTGCTTTTGCTTTGGGCAACAGAAATAGAAACTTTTTGTAGGAAGATATTTGGATGGTTCTGCATTAATCGGTAAGAATTTAAACTCACTCCCAGTCATTTTCACAATTGCAGGCAAAATATGCAGAACTAATGCTAATATTTGCTTGTTGCTTAGTCTCTACATTCCTCACCTGCAAAATAGGATTATTTATTGATCTGTTTTTTAAAAATGTATTGCCTGCCCTTCACTAAAAGGTCCCAGGCTTTGCTGCAATGATTACGAATATGAAAATAGTGGAATATTGACTGTTCACATTTACAGATGGGTGAATCTGCCTGTTTTGGTTTCTCCCAGATTGTCATACTTCCAATCTTAAATTTAGTTCTTCACATTTCCATAGCCATTTGCATTTTTTTCCATAGAGCAAGCTGCAAGCCCTATCTAGTTTTATACCAGGTCTATTTCAAATTGGAGAAGATGGACCAGCCAGCCCCACATATTAGTCCCCCCAGGTTAAAAAAAAAAAGGTAAAGGACCCCTGACCATTAGGTCCAGTCGTGGCCGACTCTGGGGTTGCAGCGCTCATCTCGCTTTATTGGCTGAGGGAGCCAGCATACAGCTTCCGAGTCATGTGGCCAGCATGACTAAGCCGCTTCTGGCGAAACCAGAGCAGCGCACAGAAACTCCATTTACCTTCCCACCAGGGCGTTACCTATTTATCTACTTTGCACTTCGAACTGCTAGGTTGGCAGGAGCGGGGACCGAGCCACAGGTGCTCACCCCGTCGTGGGAATTCGAACTGCCAACCTTCCGATTGGCAAGCCCAAGAGGCTCAGTGGTTTATACCACAGGGCCACTGGAAAGAGATGGGGCATACAGTTCCCTTGCGTCCAAGTTGTCCATCAGGGGTCAGCTGGTATTCCTCAGTGGGGATGAATTTGGCTGTGAGGTTTCCAGTTCCTGGTCTTTAAGTTGCAGGCTATCAGCCTTCAATGACTGCCAGCCCCATACTCATTTTAAGACGTCCTTGGTGTGATTGTTTGCTTGTGATTGGCTGTGGTGATCTTTGTTTTCGTGTGTGAGTGAGGTGGGTGGGTGTTTTGGATCAGGTTAGCCATATTGATTTGTATGCTGTTGAGGCCAACCCCAACCTCTCTCACCACCAAAGGAACACAAGTGAACAACACAAGCAACGCTGACACCAAACTCTACATACATTAAACATAATAGAAACACCGCCACCCGACCCCACCCTTATCCATCTTCCCTCTCTCCACCCCCCTTTCTTTCTTCCTTTTTTTTTTCCTTCTCCCCCTAATGCCTCAACAAATGAAACGGATTTGTAAAAATGTTACATGAAAAAAAAACAACGAGGCACTACACTTCTGTAAAACAAGAAAATCCTCAATAAAATATATTTAAAAAAAAAAGATATTTATTAGGATTTTTAAAATATTACAATAAAAAATGAAAGAGAAAAGAAGATACAAAATAAAAATGATTTTAAGACGTCCTTAATGCACCCTGCTAAGCCACTTCAATAGAGTCTGTAAACAAAAGCTCCACTTGCTGATGGTCCTTTTATTTGTAATGTGGTGCTTTCTTTGCCCTGCTTACATATATCCAGGACAATATATAACATATATTTTTAACTTCCTTTGCTTTCGCAGTACAACAGGAAAGGTGACAAAGCATAAAAGGGGCATTAACTTGCTTGAGATGTCACAGCAAGTGGTTGTGGTTGCAAGTGGATATAATTAAGGAGGAAAGACGTGCAAAGGAAGGGAGGTGGGAACAGAAGAAATATGGTGCAAAAAGCTGCCTGCACAGTGTGTTCACACCATTCTGAGAACTGCTTTATAAAGAGAACAACGTAGCAGAGGCAATGCTGGTCTTTAGGGGCGTAGCTCAGTGGCAGAGCTTCTGCCTTGCATGCGGAAGGTCCCAGGTTCAATCCTCACCATCTCCAGGTAGGGCTGGGAGAGCATCCCTGCCAGAAACTCTGGAGAGCTGTTGCCAGTCAGTGCTGACAATACTGAGCTAGATGGACCATACAGTGGTACCTCAGGTTAAGTACTTAATTCGTTCCGGAGGTCCATTCTTAACCTGAAAATGTTCTTAACCTGAAGCACCACTTTCGCCAATGGGGCCTCCTACTGCTGCCGTGCCGCCAGAGCATGATTTCTGTTCTCATCCTGAAGCAAAGTTCTTAACCTGAAGCACTATTTCTGAGTTAGCGGAGTGTGTAACCTGAAGCGTATGTAACCCGAGGTACCACTGTAATCTGTTACTGCAGGATGAACACTTTTAGTTAATGTTCATTTTATCTTCTGGTGTGTTTTGAATTTGGCACTGTATTTTTTATTTTAAAAAAAACACCTTTAAGTGACTTTCAGCAAATTCTAGTAAGCAGCAAACAATGAACAAATAAATATTAAATGCTTCTCCTCCCATTGGAAACAACAGGAGGAACAGAGGACGGCTATTACTTCCTCTCCCTTTTCTTTGGATGTTTTAAGCTACCCTGTGCTGCAGCTTAATACAGTTGACATATATACCGTATTTTTCGCTCTATAAGACGCACCAGACCACAAGGCGCACCTAGTTTTTGGAGGAGGAAAACAAGGGGAAAAAATATTCTGAATCCCAGAAGCCAGAACAGCAAGAGGGATCGCTGCACAGCGAAAGCAGCGATCCCTCTTGCTGTTCTAGCTTCTGGGATAGCTGCGCAGCCTGCATTCGCTCCATAGGACGCACACACATTTCCCCTTACTTTTTAGGAGGGAAAAAGTGAGTCTTATAGAGCAAAAAATACGGTAAGTTAGGCTAAAAGGCAGATGCAGTTCATCAACTCAAGTTGCAGAGCTTGTATGGGTGCATAGCTCCATCATGTGGGCTCTCAGCACTGTGGGAATATTTCTCTTTTAAAGCTGATCATTTTTCTGCTCTCCATCAGGCCTTGGCTGCAGCAGGCTTTGCTCCAACCAGCTCAGAAATGAGCAATTTTCGCAAGAGCACATTGCGCCTGGCCTGCACTGGAGCTGTGACAGGGTTCGTTCAGCCAAGCCCTGCTTGGATCACACATACACACAAAACCCCTGGAAACTAGGGGAAACGGATTGTTTTAAGATTACAGCAGAGGTGGATAGTTCCAGTAGCCATAACTGGATCCTTCACTAGCATGCAGTGTCTGGGTGGTTGGCCAAGAGTGCAGTGCTTTTTTCCCTACACCCAAAAGTGCCGGATCACACCTCCCTCAGAAGACCTACCCCAGAACCCAAAGAGGATATACAGTCATACCTCGGGTTACAGACGCTTCAGGTTGCATTTTTTCGGGTTATGGACCTGCCGAAATGCGGAAGTACCGGAACAGGTTACTTCCAGGTTTCAGGGGTCGCGCATGCGCAGAAGCACCAAATCGCAACCTGTGTGTGTGCAGATGCGCTGCTGCAGGTTGCGAACGCTGCAGGTTGCGCATGTGCATCCCGCATGGATCATGTTCACAACCCGAGCATCCACTGTATATCTTTTTTAAAAAAATAATTTTTATTAACGGGCCAATCAAATCAAATCAAATCAAATCACATAAATTCCAAATTACAAAGCCAAATTTTTAATTTTGTTGAGGGGACCCATATTTCAAGATCCGAAGGGGGATTCTGATCATCTTCTTGCTACTGCGTTAATGTCCAAATCAGTCCAAACAAAGTTCATAATTCTATCCAGTCTTATCTTGCTGTTTCCACATCTCATCTTGTTCGTATTTTTTCTCTTTTTTCTTTATGATCTCTTCTGATAATCTCCTTAAGCCGATAAACACCAATAATAATCCTGTGTGAATTTTTCCCTTCGTCCAATCCTCAAATCAAGATGGTTTCCATATATCATCACATTCATAGATAACATCGCTCTTTCCATCATTAATCACAGAACTGTCGCTCTTAAGTCCCTCTGAGGAGTTTCACCCACAATATTAAAACAGCTCTATTTCTCTATTTCTCCTCCCAGACTTAAGTCCTCCGACAGAATTTCCCAGTATGGCGACGGTATTTTTAACTGCGTCATTCCAAAGCCCTTATACATTCCACGCTCTTCTTAAAACAAGCTTTGGTGAGAAAGTTTATCTCCACACAGATGTAAATCCACAGCTGAAGTCCTTCAAACGACATTTCTGACTTGTGGGGGGGGGGGGGATTCTTGTTTAATCACATAGAGGAAAAAAAGGAAAGTTTTTTTCCCCCTCCCCCATCCAGTCCCTTTGCCATACCGAGTCTTGGCGTATTTTCATCTGATTGATTCATGTTCCTCCGACTCGTCTTGTTTATCAGAGATCTGTTCTGTTAGCAGTCTTTCCTCCCCCTCCTTCCTTGAAATATGTGCATTTGCTTCATCCTAATCATTTCTTTTGAAGTTCTCGCAGCTAGAGGCGCGGATCAGAGGCAGCGTCCAGGAGCGCCGAAATCCACAGGAGGGCATTCTGCCTAGTGCCCCCATCCCCACAAATTCGGGGGTGGTATAGGGCACAGCAGGCAGGGCACCCCCACAATCCTGGGGGGGTTGGGAGGCTATTTACTCCCATCACAGCCTCCAAATTACCTCGTGTGGGTCAGAGAGATGTTATTGTCAGCCATCTTCTGATGCGCCCCTAGTGGCCCCCCCGAGCATCCACTGTATATCACAGGGGTAGGCAAACTAAGGCCCGGGAGCCGGATGCAGCCCCCCAGGCTCGTAAATCTGGCCTGTGCCGCGAAGCTGGAACCCACCGCGAAGCCGAGACTCCTGGCGATGGCAACAGGAGGAAGAGGCCAAGCAGCAGTGGCTCTGCCAATCAAAAACCGCACCTGGTTTACCTCATCATGGCGCAGGAACGTCTCTGCCAATCAAACGCTGCACACTGGTTTGATGGGCAGAGCCGCCGCCACCCAGCCTCTTCCTCCTGCCCCCGCCGCCCTCGTGCTCCTGTGGACCAGAGAGCAGAGTGGACGAGCTCGCTCTGCCTACCCGCTTCATGAGAAGCGGTGGTGGTGGCAGCCCCTGGGAAGATAAGCGCAGCGCCTTCTTTCTCTAGGCGGGAAGCCCGTTTCGCGCCACCACCGCCCCCTCGGCAAATGAGGCAGGCACAAACCGAGAAGGCGGCTGGGGAGGGACAGTGGACCAGCCCCCTGCGGAAAAAGTTTGCTGACCCCTGACATATCATGTGAACCAGAGCTGTTTAGGGGCTTGCTCTGCTGGTGCATGGCTTTGCCGTGCGTCACCTGATAGCTGGGAGGCTGCAGTCCTGCTGCTCCTCTGGCTCACCTGCGCCTCTCCAGAGCCCGTAGAGGATATCCCGGGCTCCAGGAAGGGTCTCCTCATGACCCGGAGGTGAAACGGGGCTTTGCTGAAGCTGGTCAGGTCTCTCCTACTTCCGGGGCCCAGCTGAGAGGCAAGATTCATTCCCCTCACTCCTTACAACAGCTCTAAGAGTTTGACATAGTTGGGACAAGTGATGCTAGTTATTTGTACACGTGCAAAGCTCTGCCTCAGCTGGTTGGTGGTGATCACGATTCTGTCTTCACTTGCAATGATAAGATAAAAGGAAGAAACACACGGGAATTAAACTACAAGAGATCCAGAATGACAGTATGTTTTTAAAACTGTAAAACGGAGGTTCGGACGTTTGTGTGCTCTGCAGAGATAAACACCTCCACTCCAGTATTTTAAGGCCTCTTTTTTTATGGAGTTACCTGAATTCCAAGATAATAATCAGAGGTCTTCTCCTTGTGCCCCTCCTGCAAAAGGTGGTGACCAAGAGACAGACCTTTGCAGTGGTGGTGGGCCATTTCTGGAATTCAGCATTAACCAACATTAACCTCTTTTCAGCACCAGGAAAACGTGTTTCTGTTCTCCCAGGCATTTTGAGTACTAATATCTTTGTAGTACATGGATCTTTTTCTGAAAGACACTGGTGATCATGCCCAGGTAATGGGTTTTGCAGAGGGGGGTATTTACTTATTATGCATAATTAGTGTATGAATACTTTAATTTAAATTTTAGAATACAAAATACAACTTTAGTTACCGTAAGTCACACTGGATTGTATTCAACTAAATTCTACTCTGATTCAGCCCCCTGAAATAAATGGGCATGACTTGGTTTATTAATTTCAGTAGGTCAACTCTATGTACAATTTAGACTTGGGGATAGTGACAAAATAAATTCTAATAATCATGATTAAAGGGCTTTTCTTTACCCGAATGAAGCTCGCTCATGAGTTTCGGTGGGTGTTTCTTTGCTGGGAACCAGCTGCCAATTGCAGCTTCACTACTGGTATATACTGAGCAAACACATACAAGCACAATCTTCACACAATAGACCAAAAGGTAAAGGACCCCTAGATGGGTTGCGGCGCTCATCTCACTTTCAGGCTGAGGGAGCTGGTGTTTGTCCACAGACAGCTTTCCGGGTCATGTGGCCAGCATGACTTTTATCACTTCTGGTGCAAAGGAATACCGTGACGGAAACCAAAGCGCACAGAAACGCAGTTAACCTTCCCGCTGCAGCAGTACCTATTTATCTGCTTGCACTAGTGTGCTTTTGAACTGCAAGTTGGCAGGAGCTGGGACAGAGCAACGGGAGCTCACCCCGTCACAGAGATTTGAACCGCCAACCTTCCAATCAGCAAGCCCAAGAGGCTCAGTGGTTTAGACCACAGTAAATGATGCTTCCATGCAATCTGGTTTCCGTCAAGTGTTCCATTGCATATTTAATATAAAAACTGAGGGCTTTTTTCAGTAGAAAGATAGTCATCTTTAAGCTTCCTGATCTGGGATTAATCTTTTAACTCCAAGCTGCTACATGAGACTACCTGCTCCCTGCCAAAAAAGTTTACACTTTTGCACCTCTCATTTTCCTACCCCTAGCAACTGGCAATTCTGGATCGAGTTGTTAGCAATTTCACTCCTCTGATGCTGCAGATGAGATTGTTGTAAATCACATGCCTGTCTGGGACAAGCCTGGGAAAGGTAGAATGTCTTATCTCTTCCGCTGCGGGTACTATTACAATGTACTTTCGCTTTTAACACAAATTACTGCCGTTATGAATTGACACTAGGCATAATTTTGCCTAACCTAGCCTTTAATTATATTATAATTGTTTCATTACCATTTAACACCAATGTTTACATTTCTCTCTGCAAACCCACATACAGTACACCTTCACTTCATAGCATACAAAAGTTCATGCCAAAGAAATGTGAGTCCTTCAGGTGCCACAAGGCTTCTAAAATGGTTTTCCTGGTTCTATTATTGTATGTCCACTTTTAAGGCTTGCAGTCTTTTTGATATACCATTAAACTACAATGGGCACTTTCCCCCTATATACACAAAAACCTAAGGCTGTCATTGAACAGTCACCGTTGGAGGATTTGTAGTGCCGTATCCTTTGAATGAAGCCAGGGCAGGAGACGGAAGGAAGAGAGATTCTGAAATGGCAGCTTTCAACAAGAGCGGAGGTCTGAATTAAGCAAGACCCAGAACTGTGAGGATATGAGGCAGGTCCAGAGAGCTGAGAGAATATGGGAGGGGCTTGAAGCTGAGGATATATGCACCCCTCCCCCAAAAAATTACAGTAGCATCCCACATTGTTTTTCATTTCTGGTACCATGTGTTGCCTTCAACATGAAGTTCCTAATTCAAAGAACTTTAGAAAGTATGTTTTATTCACCAACAGTCATGTAAGTACATTCACCTAATGAACTTCAACCTTCTCTAGCTGAACAAGCAGACAGGCCTGCACTTAAGTCTAGTCAACTTAAAGATACATGTAGCAGCATGGGGAGGGGTGAGCAAAGGGGGCTGCAGAATAGGGTAAGGCATGTAAATGGTGCTGACCTATGTGCAAGGGGAAATTGAAAAGGGTCCAAGCAGAAGGGTAGAGGGGGGCAAAGTGAAAATGGGACTGCAAAGGGGGTTGCAAAATAGCATGGGAATAGTTGAGAGCAAGGGCGTTAAAGGGTCTGAACAGGAGAGGTGGCTTCACTAATTAGGCAGGTGAAAAGGGTGTTTAGCAGTTGCAACATGTTGGATCAGGAAGATGCAGGTTACCATATAGGATGTTTGTGTGCAAAGGGGTGCACAAAAGGAGTGTTGTGACATAGGGGAGGTGCTTAAACCAGTTGCAGTGGGACTGTGAAACAGAAGTTTCAGAAATGGGAGTTGGGGATGTAAAAAGCTAAAGTAGTTGCATAGAGTGGGAAGGGAAAGATCTAGTGGGTTAATATGGTGGGAATGATAGGGGGTGGCAAGCAGATGCACAGCCCCTAGCATCCCAGTGTTTTTGTTAAAGCAGACCTACTCTTATCAAACGCTGCAAGCCAGAAAGAAGACTTCCTCATTTAAGTCCAAGGATTTAGTTACAATTTCTTTCACTACATTTCAATAGATCTGTTTTAAGTTGAATTTCTTAGGATCTGGACCAACTAACAGAACCTCTTCCATACATACATTCTAAGATCGTGCCTAAGATTATCCGGAGATACGATTTTGGCAGCTTGGAAGGCTATAGCTTATTTAGTAGCAACTATAACACTAAAACCCTGCACCACACCAATTGTGGGAACAGAGTATGGCTGAGATGCAAGAGTAGAGCTACTCTAATTACTCAACATGACTAAGATAGGTCCATTAATTTCAATGGATCTACTTTGAATTAGGTAGGTTGGTTGAATACTTTCTGTTGAAACTCCCTAGCTCAAGAACTGATATTATCTACACCATGTACTTTGGAATCACATTAGCATACAGCCAGAATATTTAGTCTTCTGAAACTCTTTGTTACAGTGTTCATTCTACATGCTCTCCGTTTATTGTATTTATTGCCAATATAGGATCTTTCTCATGACATGGTTTATAAAAATTTAAGAACCTAAACACTGGTGTTTCCTTTTTCCAGCGTTTCTCCTTCCCATGATTTTTCTTGCTTTGGGCCCAGCCTCACCAGCACAGAAACCAAGTAGCTAGCAAAACACCATGGACATTTGAAAAATTGTGAATAGCTTCTATGCAGGGTGGAATTTTATTCAGAAGTGCAATGCTAGAGAGGTAAGCCCTTTGCTCACCTGACACAACTCTATGACCTGGAAAGCAAACTTCCATAGGCACTTAGTGTCTGAAGGGAAGCTTCCATATACACTGTGGCAGAGTAAATGGTTACCGCCCCACCTTCCCAGCACACAACAATGAAAACTGCCCACACACTACACAACTGGTTAACATGCACAGCACTTTATAATGCTTTAGTATTACACTTTATTTGGCCAGCCTCTCCTAACTTGTACAAAGGAAAGTGAACTGGAATAAAGTCCCATAAAACTTGCTTTCAGCTAATTTGTTAAAAAATGCTGCTTCAAATATATAGTACAGTATTGCCTATCTGCAGCCCAGTGGGGGAAACAGATGAGCAAGTGACGAAACTGTTTCCTACTGCATGCCTTTACAGTGCTATGGACAAATCTCCAAAAGGCAGACCTAACTGATTAGGCCCAATGCTACAATTTCAATTCAACCCCAACGCAATCCAATTGTCTTAAATCCATGTATGGCAGCTTTTCCAGAATGTGAATTTATTCTGACTGCTAGCCAAGCACTTGGCCTGTTTAGGGTTAAAAGTGTTTTTACTTTGCCCCAATTTGGTTGAAGCTTTGAGGACTCTGAGTAACTATTCTTAAATTCATGAAGAGTCACTTGCTTGGATATTTGAAATACAACTTTATTATGGTCTAAAGAAAAAGGAATGGGAATGACAGTAACAAACAAGATTTACCACTGAATACTGTGATGCGACTGCAGCAGTCAGATTCGAAACTCAAAATGGGGAGTAAATTGCAGTCCAAAACAGCTAAATATGCAGGTCCAAAATGAAGGAATTTTTTTTAACTGCCACATTCACTCCAAAGCCCATTCTCTCTTTCAGCATTTCAAAGATTAAAGCACATGTTCTGCTCAGCTAGAATAATAAAGTGGCAAACACGCTGCACCACTGACATCACAGGACAGTTGCCTATAAAACTAGACTTCTGACGCTGGGCTCCAGCTTCACTCCCTCACAGATCATCATCTTCATCTGGCAGTGCAGTGGTCTGAGCAATCTGGAATGGGGGGGGAGAGGGAAAACAAGTTTAGTAACATTCTAAAGTCAATGGCAACAACAAGCAGATCACGATCTCAAGTCCTTTTATGAGCTCATTTACCTGTAAATCTTGCTCATACTGTGCTGCCAATGCTGGATCCATAACGACCTCTGGTGGTGCAAGAGCAGGCATGGCAACGAATTCCAAGTTGGGATCTCCAATTAGCTTTCTTGCCAGCCAAAGAAAGGGTTTCTCAAAATTATAGTTACTCTTGGCTGAAATATCGTAGTACTGGAGGAAAAGAGAGATTGCGCATTTAGAAACAAACCAGAGGGGAATCACAGTGTCCATATGTTGTTGCAGAAACAAAGTCCTGTGGCAGCTTAAAACACAAACTGTTTAACTGTGGCACAAGCCCTGCAGATTCATGAAGTTTTCCTCAATGGGCAAATAAGCCCAATGATTTCTCTCCCACTACAAGGTGGAAAATTAACATTGCATAGAACCTCGGAAGACTTGTGCACTATCACCACTAGGCCTGGGTTTGTGGGCCAAAGTGTAATGGCACTTTCACCTGGCGGTGTATCGTGGATGTGCCTGCCTGCACCTGACTCCCTCTGTTGCCAGCACCTGGCACACAAAGGCTGTAGCTTGTTCCTACCTCTGCTTTTCAACATGGTGATGTACCACTGTATCGTAATGTTTGACTGGCGATACATCACAATGATGAAAAGCTGACATAGCCCAGCCCTAATTACTACTTAATTCCATTCTGAATGTTGCAGCCCTCTTGCAGACATTCATGTATGGTACAATGCTTTTAGTCCCAATGATTTTCTGTGTCCATGTGGTACAATTTCCCTCTAGTCGTATCTGTGTGCATAAACATACACCCAGCTGTGGAGTCTTGAGATGACCTTGATGCAACTAGTTGACAAAAGTAGAATTATCTTCCAATGAACATTCATTTAAACATAGCCTTTTACATACTAATCATCAGAAGGAATTTAGAAGTAGACTTCATTATCTAATTTTTTCTAAAGCAAGCAGCTGAAAAATGTAATGTGAACTAAGAAACCAAAATTACAGAGGACGGGGGGTCCTTTACTTCTTCCCAAAACAACTGACACACCACCCTACTGCTTTTGTCTTCCCATTTTAACTATTATCTTTAGCAAGAGAACTTTATCTTACCTGCAGGTTCTTCTTCCTGTGAAAGACAATCGACTTTGCTTTGACTTTCCTGTCCTTGATATCCACTTTGTTGCCACACAAAACTATGGGGATATTCTCACACACCCGTACCAGATCTCTATGCCAGTTGGGTACGTTCTTGTATGTAACTCTTGATGTTACATCAAACATTATGATGGCACATTGAGCTAAAAAGTTGAAACAATTTGTAGTTAATTAACAGTGATCAAACTCACACAATGTACAGCTATCCAAACTCAAAATCTACTATTTTATACATGCTCCTTTAACAGACCCGCCAACCCTTGATGTGTTACCTCAAAAAACTAATCTTAGCAGCTGTATTTTTATGATTAAAGAGCCCACAATCCAACATTTCAAAATAAGGCATGAAGATGGCAAAAAAAACACTGCTTAAGTTGATTTAGTTACTTTCTGATGTCTTCCAATGAAAGTCCTGCACAACTGTGATAATCTAAAACATGTTTATAACACATTGGTGCAGACCAAGCCTTCACAAGCAGCTGCCAGTGATTACATTGGCAGATGCCCTTCAAAAAGCCAAATTAAAACTAGAGGTTGCTGCAATTAAATTACAGACATTTCACACCCTGGTCAGGTAGCAAAAATGTGCTTTGAGCAGTTAATCAGTCAAAATAGCTGTACAGACAACTTACCTTGGATGTAGTAGCCATCTCGCAGACCTCCAAATTTCTCCTGTCCAGCTGTGTCCCATACATTAAATTTAATAGGACCTCTGTTAGTGTGGAACACCAGAGGATGAACTTCAACACCCAGAGTAGCTGCAATTACATAAAATCTCTGTTGGAACATTGCATGTATAAGTGTAGAATATGAGTGCATTTTCTAATTGAAATATTGACCTGTAGGCTATCAGCAAGTGTGACAAAACATGAGGAAAATATGACCCTTCATTTACGTAAGAGTTATTCACCTTCATCTGTTTAATAAGACTGACCATCATAAACCACTTGCCCAAAACAATGGGATGTTTTTTATCTTGTCAACAAAAGATCTAAGATGCCTGTGATGCTGCCTTTAAAGGCCTCCATTTAAATAAGGGATGGAGAAACCTGAGGTTCTCCAGAAGTTGCTGGGCTCTACCTCCAGGCTGGGGCTGATGCAACTTGCAGTCCAGTATTAGGTTCATCAGCCCTGATCTACAGCTTCACATTTTTCATTGCTTGATCAGGTACATTCTTTTCCCTAGAACCAATTTATTTTGCCTACCACCCTCCCCTCTTCCAACATCAATCAGCTGACAAAGGAGAAAAAATCCAATTGTGTTACAAATTCAGATGCCCCCTTAACTTATAGTGTTAAGTCATACAACTGTAAATGCTCAAAAAAACTTGTAATTACAAAAAACACATTACTTTATTTTACTGAAATCTACTTTGCAAAAAAAAGCGACCAAAGTTATTTTACATAAGTAAAAGGTACATAGGTAAAGGATTACAGATCACTAATATAGCAGCATAATAGAATAAGGAAAACATTTGACATACCTACATACTTCTTCTCAAATTCACCAGTCAAGTGACGTTTTACAAATGTTGTTTTACCAGTACCACCGTCACCAACCAAAACAAGCTGTTGAAATACAAATTTAAAGAATTCAAGATACTTTTGTACTGCAACTACATCCTAGGTTAACTTCTACCAACAATGGAAGTATTTCTCCAACTAGACAGGTATAGAGGTTAGAGTTTTAGGCCAGGGCTGGGGAAATCCTAGTTCAAATCCCCACATAGCCATGAAGTTAACTGGCTGGCCTTAGGCCAGTAATTCTCTCACAACCTAACTTTCCACAAAGGATTGTTGTGGAGGGTGGGTGGGGGTAATTAGGGGGAACCAAATATGGTACCTTGAGCTACTAGAAATAAAGAATGTAAAACAAATGTATCAAGTACTGGGTTTAAGATAGCTAACTTACATTAAACCACTTTAAAACTCAAATACACTGCATCAACTGCAGCCAAGAGCTTATTTCATTTCATTATTAAATTTATATACTGCCCTTCATTCAAAGATCAGTGGTATACAACATAAAGATTCAAAATGAAAACACAAAATACATAACATAGTAAAAAACAACAACCCAATAACCTCCTTTCCACAAACAAATTTAAAAGGTCATAGATTGTTTTTATCAGTCAAAGGCCTGCTGAAGAAGAACATTTTCTTTTTCTTTTCTTATTTTTTTTATTGAATTGTTATGCAAATATAAATGAAACAAAGTATGAAAACATTTCAATTGAATACAAAAAAAGAAAAGAAACAGAAAAAAGACAGAAAAAAAGACAAAGAAAACAGAGCAAACGCAAAAAGGAAGAAAATAAGTATAATACAATGTAACTTTAATAGACAGCCCAGAATGTCATTTCTCTACCGAGATGCTGACCCTTATGGGGTGAATCTCTTTTTATCATACTTTTGGGGGTTTTTTACTTCCATTGACCTCATGGTGGTTCATTTCTTATAACTAAAGCAATTTCTCTGTATTTCAATATATTCCTCATCTTGGTATAAGGAGACCTTTTCCTACTTACAGGTTTATTCTAAACACAACCAAATCTTGGTTGTTGAACTGTGACTCGATAGGTAGGTATTTAGGCATTCCTATTCCTTCTGGACTATTTTATTTGACTTGTTCCTTAAGGCTTCAGTCAACTTAGCAAGTTCCAAGTACTCACTCAGCTTCTGTAGCCAATCTTCTCTAGTTGGTATATGGCCACCCTTCCAGTACTTGGCTATTAGTACCCTAGCCGCCGTCAGTGAATAGAAAAATAATTTTAATCTTTCTTTTGGGATATTGTCAGTTAGAATCCCAAGAAGGAATGATTCTGGGTTTTTGTGAAATGTGATTTTTAGTAATTTTTTCATTTCCTCGTAGATTGTGTCCCAGAATTTTTTCATTTTTGGGCACGACCACCACATATGAAAGGTTCCCACGTTTTCATTTGGTACCTAAAGATATGTAAGTAAAGCACCAAGCAAGCCTCCTGGGGAGAGCATTCCACAAGCAGGCAGCCCCTGTAGAAAAGGCCCATTCTCACATTGCCACCTAGTCCAGGTCAGTTCTTATTGGGAGATGTGGTCCTTGAGGTATTGTGGTCCTGAGCCGTTTAAGGCTTTATAGGTTAATCCCACAAAACATCTACACACTGGCACATGTCCATTCTACCAGACTTTATAGGACTAATTCAGAGTAAGTGGCATGTAGCTGCCATGTAATATGTTCATAACCATAACCAATGCCACTTCAACCAGGTTTAAAATCTATAACCTACCCATCTTCAAGATGAGTAGAAAACCAAACAGATGACAAAATGTTCTTTTTGCACATTGCCTGGGATAGAAGAGGAAGGTAATACCTGGACTTCTAGGATTTAATTCAAATGAAAATGTACATGGCTTACATTCAGCCTAGTGCCTATATACTGCATAAACTAGTTGGCCTAGTAGAGGAATAAAAATTAATTTACACTTTTAAGCATCTATCTATGGGAGTCTGCAAAAACCGCAAAGGGTGATAAATTATTTTAACCTAAATAATTCTTAACCAATGTGACTGATTTATGGGTGTTGGCAGACCACTTAAGGATTTTCTGCCTGCTGTAACAATTGTCATACTGTGCTAGGTGTTGTATGGTTTTTAATTGTATTTTGAAAATGCAGCATGTAACACCTGAACAAAGCTCAGGGACCACTAGTAATCGGTGGGTCAGAATTTGGGAACTTCTGCTCTAGAGCAAATTAGGGGGCCCTGGGGGGGAGAAGAGGGAGAGTCCTTTCGGATCTACTTGTTATTGCTCAATGATGGAAGGAAACTTCTAAAATGCTGTACCAAGAGAGGCTTGGGTTAATAACACCTGGAACTTTGCTTTATCAGAACACCTCACAAATCATCAGTGACTAATTAAAGGTATCTCCAAAAAAAGATACCTTTGAGAGCTGGTCTCACTTTTTCTCTTTTACTGAACAACAGCATATTTTAACGCCACCATGATTACAGAGGTGTCTGTGAAGGGGATATATTGATTGAAAATGTATTGTAACATTCAAATAAATGTGTTTTTTGGGGGGAGCGGGTGTGTGAAAAAAGTCTACTTGTGAGGTGTTGGATGGCCATACTTTTTCCAAGATGTGAAATGTAGTCTGTACAAATTTGTACAATCACTTCCCTGACTGAGCTATTAATCCAACCAAAAGGCAAGATAGTACTTCATGCATCTGAGACTATACTGCCCTTGGATCTCTACTTTTAAAGGCTTACAGATAACTCAGCTGTAGAAGCATAAGTGGAAAGTAGTTTTTTTAATTGAACATGTGACGTTAGAAATTGCACAAGTCACACATTATGCCACAAAAAGCACTGAAGGAAGCACAGGAATTGCTATTGAAAGCATACAGCACAATTTACTGTATATGGCTCACTGTAAAATGCAAAAAAATATAAAAAGTCCCAAATATACCTATTTAAATATGTCCCCACATTTTAATTGGTAACTTAATCAAATTGTAATTTGTACAGCCCTGGCAGAAAAGTTGAGCATCAAGTCCTCTCTTGAATAAATAATGTAATCAAAACCTATGGAAACAAAGACACCCAAGCCTCCAATCCTATACACACTTAAATGAGAATTAAATCCAATTGACCTTTTTCTAAGTAAGCATGCAGAATTGCATCTCCCACATGTCCGATCCCAAACAAACCCAGGAGACTTTTAAGATTTACAAGGTCCATTTTGTTTTTATCGACCTTAAGCAAGCAGCTCTCAGAAGCCTTCTCAACAGAGGAGTGGGGTTTAAAAAAATAAATAATCCTAACAAAACGGCCATGGTTACAAGACATGTAGCCTAACGAACATTCTTGTGGGTTTTAACATCAGCCTAACAAAGGAAGCTCCCAAGCTAGTATCCAGGCGTTTTAAAGAAGTGGTTTCTTTTAAAGAGAAAGCAAGAAAATAAGGGAAGTATGGGTGTCCCGGCCTCGTTCCTTACCTTAAACTGCACTTGCGGTTCTCCCTGCGGGGCGGCCATGCTGCTGCGTCTACTGAGAGACAGAGAAAGGCCCGATTGAGGTTAAAAAGGAAAAGAAAGAAAAAACTCCCGTGCTGCGCTCATCTGCCCACGCCGCCCAAAAGGCGCGTGGCTCGCTCTCCATCCGGGTCAGGGAGGAAGCAGTAAATGGCGGCCAAGGGGTTTTTGTGTGTGTGCGCGCGCGCGCGTTTCTTTCCCCGCCCTCCATGCTCTCCCTCTCACCCCCCCATCCCCCCCTAGGATGGCTCAGCAGAATTGAGAAACTGCATTAAATGGGGAGGGGGGGAGAGAGAATTGCTAATGGCGTGGGCAGGCAGAGAGGAAACAAAATTTTAGAATATAATCCAAGACTCCCCCCTGCCCCCCCCCCCAAAATATCCAAGGCCCGCTACCTTTTATCCATTTTCTACGTCCCCAAACCAGCATGCATCATATATACGCACGCATATATATATTGTAAGGATTTAACACGGAAGGAATGGGGGGCGCTCCCTCTCGTTTCTCCCCCTCCCCCCGCGCGACGACCCTCCCATCATTCTCCCCCCCCCCGGCGTCCCCGCGCACTCACTCGCGCCCTCGAGGGGGGGGGATGGAATGCGGTTCTCTCTCTCTCTCCCTCAACGGCCTCCCCTCCAAACCGCCGTTCCGCGCCTCGCCTCCCGACTAACGGCGCGAGGAGGGGAAGGGACCGCGAGGGATTGTGACGCGGGCGCGCGACGGAGCGCGTGCGTCCGCGCCGCCGTTCCCCTCCCCCCCACGCCGCCGCCGCCGCCGCATCCCGACCCCTCCCCTCCCCCCACCGCCGGCGTGAGGTAAATCCTGGGCCTCTCTCCTCAAGAGCCACGCGAGGAGGCCCGAGAGCTTCGAAGGCCTCAAAGGCCGCTGCCTCGGGGAGGCCTCCTCGCCGTCGCCGCGGAGAGGCCGCCGCTTCGTTCGTCATTGATCTCTCTCTCTCCCCTCCACCCCGTTAACCGCCGTCCATTACCTTCTCGATGCGTCTCTCCGCTCTTTCTCTCCCGCTTCCGCCGCCTCCTCTTCTGGTTTCTTCCTTTCTTTCTTTCCGTGTGTGTGTGTTTAAACTGGGCGGGCGGCTGAGGAAGAAGATGGCGGAAGCGCGGCGGTTCAAATAGCCGTAAAAAGAACGAGGCAAAGGCGGGCTCGGCTCTGGGTGGGTTGGGAAAGGCGGGAGGGAGGGCCTGCGTGCGTGCGCGCGCACGGCGGGAGACGCGACGACGTCGGGGGGGGGGTAGCACGCAACGGACGCCGGGGCGCAAACAGCCTAGAGCGGCGTGGGAGGGGCCGGACTGTCACGTGGGAGAGGGTTGAAACGCGCCGCGCGTCGGTCGCGTGGGACTTGCGCGCATGCGCGGCCCCGTCTCGAAGGCCGCCCGTAGCCTGGAAGTACACTTTTTGTCCTGGGCGCGCGTGCGCAGTAGGGGAGCCGCCCGGCGCTGAGCCTCAAGTGGGAGATGGTGGCGGGAAAGCCTTGTTTTCCTTCTTTCCCCTCCCTCTTCTTACCCCTCCTCCCTCCGTCTTTTCCACAGAGTTACCCTCTCTTGCGCTCGGCTCGCCTCTTACTGTTACTCACTTCCAGGGCCGGGAGCCGTCCATGAGGCAGAGCCAGTCGCCTCAGCTGTGCTCACCTCAGAAGGGGAGCTGTAGGGGAGGGCCGGCCTTCTCCCACATAGGCAGCTCCTGTCCTTTGTGGGCCGCATTTTAAATTATGATTACATTTATAGACCGCCTTTAACTTACAAGGAACCCAATGGTTCTCCTCCCCGTTTCATCCTACCTGTAAGGTAGGTTTCTACCCTCTGAATTATGTTGCCAGTCTGGAAGGAAGCACACAAAGAAGGACCTCAGATGATGATTGTAGGGCAGGGGTAGGCAAACTAAGGCCGCGGGGGGCCGCATCTGGCCCAATTGCCTTCTAAATCCGGCCTTCAGACGGTCTGGGAAACAGCGTGTTTTTGCATGAGTAGAATGTGTCCTTTTATTGTGTCCTGTCGCTTCTGAGCTCAGTTTTGCTTTCTTCTTTCCCTTCTGGGGACACGGATAGCACTGTGGTCTAAACCTCTCCTGGTCTGCCCCGCAGAGGACCTTGAGGTCCATGAATAAGCATAGTTTAGAGGTCCCAGGCCCTAAGGAAGTCAGACTATCCTCCACCAGGGCCAGGGCCTTCTCAGTGATGGCTCCGACCTGGTGGAATGCTCTGTCCCATAAGACCCTGCATGATTTAACCTCCTTCCGTCGGGCCTGTAAGACAGAGCTATTCCGCCTGGCCTTTAATTTGAATTCAGCCTGATGTTTTCTTCCCGTCCCTTCTCTTCCCTCCCCCTCCCCTTTTATGAAGATTACCCGCTCTGGGACCCCACAGCTAATTCTCCCCTGGCCTCTTCGCTGGCCCAAGTAGGACTAATTCAGCCAGCTCGCCCTGGTGACTATCTAATGTTTATTGGATGGATTTCCCCCAAATTGATTTTGAACTTTGAATTTTGTTGTTATTCATGCTTTTATATTGTATTTTATGCTGCTTCTATGTTGTATTACAATTAAGTGTTTAAAATTTGTTGTTAGCCACCCTGAGCCCAGTTTTCTGAACCGGGAAGGGCGGGGTATAAATAAAATATTATTATTATTATTATTATTATTATTATTATTTAAAATGCATCTCTGGGTTATTTGTGGGGCCTGCCTGGTGTTTTTACATTAGTAGAATGTGTGCTTTTATTTAAAATGCATCTCTGGGTTATTTGTGGGTTATAGGAATTCATTCATATTTTTTCCCAAAATATAGTCCGGTCCCCCACAGGGTCTGAGGGACAGTGGACCGGCTCCCTTCTGAAAAAGTTTGCTGACCCCTGGGCTAAGAGATGGTGACTGGCCCAAGGCTGAGTGGGCATTCAAACCCTGCTGTCCAAGGTCCTAGTCCAAAAGCTAACGATTACGCCACACTTAACAACTAAACATTATGCCTCTTAACAGCTAAACGTTAATTAACGTTTATTGGAATCAAAACACGTTTTCTCACGGCTATACCGGGTGAATTGTAGTGTTGGAATGGACCCCACCCCCCATCTAGTCCATGCCTGTACCCCTGCAATGCAGGAATAGTAGCTGAAGAATCCCTGACTGTCAGGGCCAGCCCCATTTTTGGCACCTAAGGCAAACCACAAAATGGCGCACGCAAGATCTGCATCAGGAACAAGGGTAAGAGGAGACCAGCAGCACCTCCTGAGGCTGCTGCAGAGGTGGCATTGGTGGGGCTGCTGAGCAGGTGTCGCACAGGAGCGGGCAATGCATTCCTTGGAGGCTAGACCTGCTGTGCGGTCCAGGGCACTTGCCTCATGGGTGGTCTGGCCTTCCTGACAGTTGGTCATCCAACCTCTCTTTAAAAAGCCAAGGGAGGGGAGCCCACCATCTTCAGAGGTAGTCACTGTTTAGGGAAGCTTTTAATGTTTGATGCATTACTGTATTTTAATATTTTGTTGGAAGCCGCCCAGAGTGGCTGGGGAAGCCACATGGGCGGGGTATAAATAATAAATTATTATTATTATTATCACTCATTCCCTCAAAGGATTCATGCTGTCTTCTCTCTCTAGCTCTGAGAGAAGAACAGGCACAAGTAAAAGCAAAAGTACAGTACAAATAGTACATACTGCGGAAGAGATAAGACTGTCTTCCGTTCCCACGCTCTTCCCAGACAAGCATGTGATTTATGCCAATTTCATCTGCAGCATCAGAGGCGTGAAATACTAACACCTTCATTGGGCCAGGCCTTCAGATAGTTCAAGATCTTTATGTTGCCTCTCCTTATACCAGGGGCTAGGGAACCTGAGACATGGGTGCTGAGAGCATGCCCTCCAACATTTATCTGATGAAAATAGGGACATCCTATTCAATAACAATAACACTCCGCCCATCTGACTGGGTTGCTTCAGCCACTCTGGGCAGCTTCCAACATATATAAAAATGTAATAAAATATGCATTTAAAAACTTCCCTATGCAGGGCTGCCTTCAGATGTCCTCTAGAGGATGTATAGTTGCTCCTCTTCTTGGCTCTGAGGTCACTTAACTCCATATGCTCCCATTATTTCTCTGATAAAAGTAGGGACATTCTAGGGGAAAGTGGGATATTGAAAGATCAAATCAGAAACCGGGGCGACTTCTGTACATCTGGGGCTGTCCCTGGACATTAGGGACACGTGGAGGGTTTGTGAGTGAGAACTGCCAAGCATCTCTCTCTCTCTCTTTTTTTTTTTAAAATAATTTTTATTAAAGTTTTGATCAACAAAGAAAGAAAAAAAAACATACACAATACATATAACAACAACACACAAAAAACAAAACAAAATTCAACAATAAAACAAAAACAAAAAGCATAACAATTAAAAACAATATCTCTTTTCCATTTCCATTTTTAAGTTACTTATTTTCTGGACTTCCTCATACCTCCCTCTTTTGTATTCCAATCCAAATTGTTTGTCCAGCAGTTTCTTTTCCACTTTTTTAATCCCAATCTTAGCTTTAATAAGATATTAAAATATATATCTTCAACTTCTTTAAACCTGATCTTTGGTCTTAGTATCATATGACGTTAAAATTTTCCCTCTTAATATCAAATTTCCATTTCTTTAAACATCTTTAATCTTAATCTTTAATCTTAGTCTATCATTAACTTTAACCTGTACAGCTGGAAACCGCTTATTTTCAGTCCAACATCACTCTAACACTCCTTAATTTTGCAGTATTTCTGAAGATAGTCTTTACATTTCTTCCAATCTTCCTCCATCGACTCTTCTCCCTGGTCACGGATTCTACCAGTCATTTCCGCCAATTCCATATAGTCCATAAGTTTCATCTGCCATTCCTGCAGCGTGGGAAGTTCTTGTGTCTTCCAATGCCAAGCATCTCTCTCTCTGGCCCTTGGAACTCTCCCTAGACTGCACAACTCACCAAACCTAGTTCAGACACTCTGAGTGTTTTTCCCCCAACTGGCATACATCCCTGAACTCAGATAATGCCTCTTTGTTGCCTGGATGGGTAATACATGAGCGTGTGTGGAAACTAACCTGTACAAAGATAAAATTTACAGTCACTGATCTTTTGCATTTGGCACCGTCCACCCCAGCATATGGCCCCTAAAAGGTTGCACAGAAAGCAATGTGGCCCTCAGGCTGAAAAATGCTCCCCACCCCATCTTACTCATCCCCCCCCCCCCGTGGACCCTTGGCAACATGCCATTCCAATATCCTTCTTAAAACATGGCGGCCAGAACTAGATACAACTAAATCAACTAAAGGTTTTCATCCTGATAAATAGGAAGAACAATCATAATTTCTTTGGGTGTCCTGATTAAATTTTTATTAGGGGACAGTTCCCTACAGCTTTGAAAAAGTGGTCTGTTTCTCATTTAGAGCAGACATTTTAAAGAGAAAAGTTTGTGGGGGTGATAAATTAAATTCAAGAGAGCAAAACTATCTGACAGAATACCTGGTTTTAACAGTTATTTTAACTGCAATTAATTTTATTCTGTTTTATGTATTTTGCTTTGTAATGGCTTCAGCTATACAAATAAGTAATATTTGTATTCAAATTATAATTTATTTTGATTAGAGCAGATTCTAATGGATCATGCTATATGAAGTGATCAACAGAGTTGGTTGTGGGTGTTTTTCTTCTGAGAATTTATCAGTTTGCCTCTAGAGGTCAGGAAGAGAGTTTGTGTATTTTCTCACCTTATCTCTTTATAGATTGGTTTTCCACAGCAGCAGACCAGAATGCTATCAAGCCTCCTTCACTACCTCCTTTTCTGCCTTTGTTCTGTCTTCTTGCCTGGCCTAGCTTCAGTCCTCAAAAAACTTACCATAGCTTTTATCTAGTCTGGCAAAACAATGAAGTGTTGTCTTGGCCCTCCCCCCCCCCTTGTGCCTTTTATGTGTTAAGGAGTTCAACACAACACACCTCTTAATGAAACATGTTTCAGATTTGAAACTAAGAGGCAAAAAGTCTGCATTGCCTACCCAATACAGTATTGCAGCTCCTGACTGGCAAATCCCTGTGAAATAGAAACTTAATTGGCTATTTTGAGTCATTGTTGACCTATACCATGGCTTCTGAACTCCCAGTGGGTTTTGTTGCTCTCACAACAAGGGTACCAGCTGGGCTTGCTGCTCAGATGAGACGAGAACCTTTAGTTGATTTAGCCATGTTCCATCTCCACTGTCAGAAATGAACAGCAGTTGTTGGGAATCGCAGGTGGGCAGAGTGGGTCCCATCAGGACCTGCATGGAGGGGGTTAGAATCTACAAGCAGAAACATGGTGTACAGATCAAACAAATTCCTTTGTTAAGGTAACAGCCTTGGGCGGCCTCACCAGCATCTCAAAGAGTTAGCTAAAAGAGACGTGTTGCCCTAGTGGCAATGGAAGATACTTCCATGAGGCAATCTGCCACCTCTCTCACCTAGCTGGATTCCACATCATCTTAGGAAGGGAAACAATAGGCCAGGGAACTAGTGCTGGAGAGAGAGTTTGGTTGGGTTGGAAGCTGCAGAGGGAAGCTTGACTCACATCAGCTGTGCTTAACCCAAAGCTATGATACCTTTAGGGCTAAACCACGGAGCCTAGGACATTCCGATCAGAAGGTCAGCAGTTCAAATCCCCGTGTCGGGTTGAGCTCCCGTTGCTCGGTCCGTGCTCCTGCCAACCTAGCAGTTCAAAAGCATGTCAAAGTGCAAGTAGATCAATAGGTCTCCGGCGGGAAGGTAAACAGCGTTTCCGTGCGCTGCTCTGGTTCGCCCGAAGCGGCTTAGTCATGCTGGCCACATGACCCGGAAGCTGTACGCCGGCTCCCTTGGCCAATAAAGCGAGATGAGCACCGCAACCCCAGAGTCGGCCACGACTACCTAATGGTCAGGGGTCCCTTTACCTTTACCTATACCTATAAACTTAATGCGGAAGAAATATCTGTTGGGAGTGTTAATGAGGTGTACATTAAGTGTAAATAAAACACTGTACAGTGGTACCTCGGGTTACATACGCTTCAGGTTACATACGCTTCAGATTACAGACTCCGCTAACCCAGAAATAGTACCTCGGGTTAAGAACTTTGCTTCAGGATGAGAACAGAAATGGTGCTCCAGCGGTGCGGCAGCAGCAGGAGGCCCCATTAGCTAAAGTGGTGCTTCAGGTTAAGAACAGTTTCAGGTTAAGAATGGACCTCTGGAACGAATGGGTACCACTGTATACTGAAAAGACTAAAGTCTTATTTGGCTTTCATTCCAAGGAAACCATATGCTGGGTAAGCGCCGGAACCCCTGGAGTCCCACCACTCCAGGTAAATTGGAGTGCAGGCAATACAATATGTTGTGGGAAAAGTTGCTTTTGATTGTTGAGTGTTCCAAAGCTCCTATGAACTGGCAGAGAAAACTTGAAGGGATCATAGGCAAGCATCTGCATACATATCATACTTTTCAAGCACTTGTGTTCCACCCCCCCCCAAAAAAAAAAGAATCCTGGGAACTGTAGTTTGTTAAGAGTGTTGGGAAATTTAGCTCAGTTTGAGAAATTTCAGCCCCCATGATTCTTTGGGGAAAAGCTACTTGCTTTAAATTGCAAAATTGGGATTAGGGTTAGGTTCTAGACCAGAATACAAAATTTCAGACTGAGGGCTCTTTTTGCCTTTGTCTCTTTTCAGTGGATCTGGATGGTAGACAGTAGCAGCAACCTGATGTCTGCCCACCTCTGGTGTAGATGTTGTCTTTGCCTGCCTCTCTTCTCATGTTCTCTACCATTTATCAGAAACAAGCAGCAGGTCCAATTCTGAAATGTACCATTAGACATTGCCGGTTTGAATGCAGGGCCCTATTAAAACACCCTGCATGTACAAAAGTAGCAATGAGAAGAGCAGCCTAACTTTGCTGTGTCGTGCAGGGAGATTATTTGAGTTTTTGTATAGTAGCAGCATTCAGATACAACAACACCCCTGCAAACTCTGGTGGTACAGCCCAGGAAAAGCTTTGCCACTCATTTCTGCTGAATGGATAAACTAACCCATTGATACATGTGCCTATGTGTCAAAAGAGAATGCCAGCCTTATCTTGGGACTGGGAAAGAGCAGTTATGAATACGACGGTGACAAGCCTTCTCTTTGCCTTTATAGTTCCAAAAAACTGGCATAATTTTTTTGATTCTGTTTGTATCCTTTGTGTATTGTCATTCAAAGTAACGCCAGGGTGGTTTGCAGGACACAACACAACAATAAAAAATAATGCTAGCTTCATAACAATGCAGAAGAAGTGTCAGCTGAAAGACTCGTTGTATTCCAAAGGCGGGGGGAAATACAGTGATATGGAAAATTGCTTAATGCTGTCTAATTGGGGCACCTAGCACAGTACAGTCTTCACTGACTGGCAGTGGCTCTCCGCGGTTTCAGGCAGGCCTCTATCCCAGTCTTACCTGGAGATGTTGGGAATTGAACTCGTCACCTTCTTGCATGCACAGCAGATTCTCTACCACTGAGCTATGGCCTTTCCAAAATGGCTTTCAGCTTACACCTAAATGAGGCCTACATGGAGACAACTGAATGTAATTTCTGAAGGAGTTCTCTAATCAGGGGGCAGCCACAGAAAAAGCCCTGTTTCATGCCTGCCCAGTAGAAGGTAACATCCCCGGCAGATGTTAATAGTGTCAGTTTGCATTTCTTAGTACAGGAAGTATTGATCTGATGTGTACAGATCTTTCCTATTCTGCTTAGTTCAAGAGGGTTCTACTCTGCTTGAAAGAAGGTTCTTGTTTGGGTACGGACACGGGTGGCGCTGTGGTCTAAACCACTGAGCCTCTTGGGCTTGCCGATAGGAAGGTCGGCAATGGGGTGAGCTCCCGTTACTCTGTCCCAGCTCCTGCCGACCTAGCAGTTCGAAAGCACAACAGGGCAAGTAGATAAATAGGTACTCCTGTGGCAGGAAGGTAAAAGGCGTTTCCGTGTGCTCTGCTTTCTGTCACGGTGTTCTGTTGCGCCAGAAGCGGTTTAGTCCTGCTGGCCACATGACCCGGAAAGCTGTCTGCGGACAAACACCGGCTCCCTTGGCCTGAAAGCGAGATGAAAGCCACACTCCATAGTCGCCTTTGACTGGACTTAACCGTCCAGGGGTCCTTTACCTTTACCTTGTTTGGGTTATTCCTTCTGCGAAGCTGAGTACAGCTGGTTTAAACTGGTTCTGTTATCTTTCTGTCAAGGCCATGCTGACTATAATAGGCCAGAAGCCTGGATTTCACTTTCTTTCTCTTTCTATCTCTTTGTTCTGGTGTGGTGTTCTGTATAGAGTGGTACCTCGGGTTAAGAACTTAATTCGTTCTGGAGGTCCGTTCTTAACCTGAAACGGTTCTTAACCTGAAGTACCACTTTAGCTAATGGGGCCTCCTGCTGTCGCTGTGCCACCGCTGCACGATTTCTGTTCTCATCCTGAAGCAAAGTTCTTAACCCGAGGTAATATTTCTGGGTTAGTGGAGTCTGTAACCTGAAGCATATGTAATTTGAGGTACCACTGTACTGTATAGTGTTAAGGTTTAGACTTACAGTATTATAAGATATTGTAAGTTTAGGTTAAGTCTGCTGCAACTGGATTTTTTTTATGAACAGTGCCAGTCCTGAATGTATTGGATTTGTGACCATTATGCTCATTTGCCTTCAGTAGCAGCAAAGCTCTGCTGGATGAAATACAATTGCCTCTGGTCTACTTTTTTGGAATCCTGCAACATATTTAAGTTGTTACTCTGCTAAGTATACACTGGAATCTACTCTGGATCAATACTGAGTAGCATTTATACGACAAATAGATGGGTAAGGTGCAGTACAAGAGGAAGTTCTCCCAGTACAGTGGTACGTCGGTTTACGAACTTAATCTGTTCTGGAAGTCCGTTCTTAAACCAAAATCATTCTTAAACCAAGGTGTGCTTTCCCTAATGAGACCTCCCGCGGCCAGTGCCCTTCCACCGTTTGGCTTCCGTTCGAAGACTGAGGCAAATTTTGCTAACTTGAACACCGGTTTTGCGGAGTTCGTATACCAAATAGTTCGTAAACAGGGCTGTTCTTAAACCAAGTTACCACTGTATAACAAAATGTAATAGCTATTAGGGAAAGCACGCAATCTTGCCCTGAGGAGTGGGGGGGGGGGAGAAGCTTTGGGGAGTGACCACCATCCAGCCCTCATAGTGTCCCCTCTGTCTCCCAACTGCCACCACAGAGGCGTCATCTTGTTCTGAGGGGAGAGAACATCTTCTAAAACAAGCAAGTTGTCCTTTCCCTTTAATTTAATGCAAAAGGTAAAGGTAAAGGTACCCCTGCCCGTTCGGGCCAGTCTTGCCAGACTCTAGGGTTGTGCGCTCATCTCACTCTATAGGCCGGGAGCCAGCGCTGTCCGCAGACACTTCCGGGTCACGTGGCCAGCGTGACAAGCTGCATCTGGCGAGCCAGCGCAGCACACGGAACGCCGTTTAACCTTCCCGCTGGTAAGCGGTCCCTATTTATCTACTTGCACCCGGAGGTGCTTTCGAACTGCTAGGTTGGCAGGCGCTGGGACCGAACGACGGGAGCGCACCCCGCCGTGGGGATTCGAACCGCCGACCATGCGATCGGCAAGTCCTAGGCGCTGAGGTTTTACCCACAGCACCACCCGTGTCCCATAATTTAATGCAAACTTTTTTTAAAAGATGCTTATTGTTATAATCTTACGTAAACTGCTTTGGAGGGTCTCTCTGACAGCGATACAGTGGTAACTTGGTTTATGAACTTAATCCGTTCCGGAAGTCCGTTCTTAAACCAAAGCGTTCTTAAACCAAGGCGTGCTTTCCCATAGCAGCGGGGGACTCAATTTACAAATGGAACACACTCAACATGTTCTGCTTCCAAGGCAAAATTCACAAACCAAAACACCTACATCCGAGTTTGCAGTGTTCTTAATCCAAGTTGTTCATAAACTAAGCTGTTCTTAAACCAAGATACCACTGTATATAAAATACTTTAAAATAAATAAGAATATCATCAAGAGAACAGTCAGACCAGGGCCAGCTCAATTATGAGGCAAAGTGAGGCAACCGTCAGCAGTGGCAGGATCCGCAGCAGCAGCAGCAGATCCCCATGTCGATATTTATTCTCTGCTTGTTCCTGATGTAGATCCTCACTCACAGAGGCACCCTTTTGTGATTCACCTCAGGTGCCAAAATGTTTTGGGCTGGCTCTGAGTAAGATTACTGTTACAGTATCCAGGAGCTGGTGTTATTGGAATGTATACAGACTCACAGTATGTTTATTTATCCCACTGAGTTCAGCAGGACTTCCTGCTCATTAATCACCAGGCTTCGGGTTTCACTGCCCGTAATTCCAACAGGCATAAGGTGGTTGTGGGAAGGGAAACCTCTCCACGAGCAGACTCTAGATCAGGGGTCAGCAACCTTTTTCAGCCGTGGGCCAGTCCACCATCCCTCAGACTCATAGCTGTCAACTTACAGATTTGAAAATAAGGGACCACCAGCCTCGAAAATAAGGGATCAGCATCCAAAATAAGGGATTTTCCAAGCACAGGTATGTTCGACTTCTGAGCCCCTCCAAGCCAAAGGCAGAAAGCCCAGTCAGCAGCCAAACGAAGCCTCAAGCGGTGGTTCCCACAGTGCAGCAACCCAGCAAAGGGGATGCAGCAAGGAAAACCACCGTCACCTCTCCGCTGGGAAGAGCTGAGCAAAGGCGAGTCCCCAGGCAACGTGGCCAATTTGATCGGCACAAGGCATGCAAGCTCCACCCCCCAGTTCTTAGACTCCTTATTGGGTGAGCAATGCAGCCAAGCAAGACAGTTGGAGCCTCCCTCTTCGCTGGCTGGCAGGGAGGGAGGGAGAGGAGCTGCTTCCTTTGAAACCTGGGAAATTTAAGGGACATCATCAATAAGGGACAGCAACGGGACACAGTGCTGGGATAAGGGACTTTCCTGCCAAATAAGGGACGGTTGACAGCTATGCTCAGACTATGTGGTGGGCCGGACTATATGGGGGGGGGGAATGAACGAATTCCTATGCCCCACAAATCACCCAGATATGCATTTTAAATAAAAGCACACATTCTACTCATGTCAAAACACAGATTCCCAGACCATCCGCAGGTCGGATTGAGAAGGTGATTGGGCCACATCCGGCCCCTGGGCCTTAGGTTGCCTACTTCTTCTCTAGACATATGCAAGTCAAAACAATCCCCCACCTTCCCTGGGGCCACTTAAGGAAGACATGGGATGAGGCAGAACAAGGAGGCGCAAGCCAGGGAGCTTCCAGTCAGCCTGCGAAGACTCTGGGGTGCTTCCAGACTGTATTTTGGGGTGTGATTGAATCGCCTACCATCAAATCCAGGTTGCATGATTAAAGGGGATGCAGGTGGTGCTATGGGTTAAACCACAGAGCCTAGGACTTGCCGATCAGAAGGTCGGCGGTTCAAACCCCTGCGACGGGGTGAGCTCCCGTTGCTTGGTTCCTGCTCCTGCCAACCTAGCAGTTCGAAAGCACTTCAAAGTGCAAGTAGATAAATAGGTACCGCTCCAGCGGGAAGGTAAACAGCGTTTCTGTGCGCTGCTCTGGTTCGCCAGAAGCGGCTTAGTCATGCTGGCCACATGACCCGGAAGCTGTACACCGGCTCCCTCGGCCAATAAAGCGAGATGAGCCCGCAACCCCAGAGTCGGTCACGACTGGACCTAATGGTCAGGGGTCCCTTTACCTTTACCCTTTAAAGTTCTTGTGCAACAAACCTGATCACCATTACTGCAAAGAAACCGGGACTTTTTGTGTTTAGGAAAGTGACAAGTAAATGCACTGGGACACGAGGGATAACATTTGCTTGACAAAACATCGTCTAACCCAGGGGTCAGCAACCTTTTTCAACCATGGGCCGGTCTACCGTCCCTCAGACCATGTGGTGGGCCAGACTATATTTTTTTGGGGGTAAATGAACTAATTCTTATGCCCCACAAATAACCCACAGATGCATTTTAAATAAAAGGACATATTCTACTCATGTAAAAACACGCTGATTCCTGGACCATCCGCAGGCCGGATTGAGAAGGCGATTGGGCCGCATCTGGCCCACGGACCTTAGCTTGCCTACCCCTGATCTAACCTGTAGGCCTCCAATCAGTGGGTCGGGACCCACAGGTATGTAGGTCACATGACCTTCCTGGGTGGTTCACAGAACAGCTGTTGCTGCTCTGTTGGATTCCAGCAGAGGCTGATCAGACCAATTCTTATTTTATCTTTTTCCTTGAGTGATGCAAATCAGCAGGAGAAAGATGAGGGCATTTTTTCTATAATTATATTTCTTGGCAACCATATGCCCTACCTTCCTATAGCTATGTCTGTACCTCTCTATGGAGCAGGGACACTGTTCACTTTCTAGTCTGTTTCTATGGCTTTCTAAGCTTCCCCCAGAATGGAAGTATGCTAGGGACTAGAATGCCTAAGTGTCTGCTGAGGTGGGTAGCTGGGTTGTGCAGTACAGTGGTACCTCAGGTTACATACGCTTCAGGTTACATACCCTTCAGGTTACACACTCCACTAACCCAGAAATAGTGCTTCAGGTTAAGAACTTTGCTTCAGGATAAAAACAGAAATTGGGCTCCGGCAGCGCAGCAGCAGCAGGAGGCCCCATTAGCTAAAGTGGTGCTTCAGGTTAAGAACAGTTTCAGGTTAAGTACGGACCTCCGGAACGAATTAAGTACTTAACCCGAGGTACCACTGTAGTTGACATAATGTGTGTGTGGGGGGGGAGAGAATCACTGGTTTTCAATAGCTTCTTAGCCTTTTTGCTAAGAACATGTGTAACACCACTAGTTTCATTTAGCAGTCATGCTAAGGAAACACTATGTATAATACTGCTTTGTGAATTGTCATTTTAGAATTAATAATGTGCCTTATTGACACTAATAGGTATAAATCAGAAGTGAATATGTGAAAGTGGGACCCAAATTGCAGGCTGGAAGTCAGAGGTGAGTCTTAAGTCTGGACCAGATGAAGACCACTGACCTAACCTCCCAACAGACAAATCAGGATGAATGCAAACCCTCCAACATTTCTCTGATGAAAATAAGGATGTCCTATTCCCTAATAGTAATAGCTGCTATTATTAATATTATTATTATTATTATTATTATTATTATTATACCCCACCCATTTAAATGGGTTGCCCCAGCCACTCTAGGCGGCTTCTAACATATATAAAAATGTAATAAAACATTAAACTTTAAACAAAAACAAAAACAAAAATACTTCCCTATACAGTGGTACCTTGGGTTACAGTGGTACGCTTCAGGTTACAGACTCTGCTAACCCAGAAATAGTACCTCAGGTTAAAAACTTTGCTTCAGGATGAGAACAGAAATCGTGCTCTGGCGGCACGGGGGCAGCAGGAGGCCCCATTAGCTAAAGTGGTGCTTCAGGTTAAGAACAGTTTCAGGTTAAGTACAGACCTCTGGAACGAATTAAGTACTTAACCCGAGGTACCACTGTAAACACAAGATAAATATACATGTGTCAGAATGTTCAAGGCAGCGGCGCAGCTGCAGTGGGAAGCCCCATTAGCTAAAGTGGTACTTCAGGTTAAGAACAGTTTCATGTTAAGAACGGACCTCCAGAACGAATTAAGTTCTTAACCCGAGGTATCACTGTACAGGACTGCCTTCAGATGTCTTCTAAAGGTTGTATAGTTACTTATCTCGGGGGTCGCATAACTCAATACCCTCCAACATTTCTCTGATGAAAATAGGGACATCCTAAAGGAAAGTGGAACATTCCGGGATCCAATCAGAAACTGTGGCGGCTTCTGTAAATCCGGGACTGTCCCTGGAAAATAGGGACACTTGAAGGATCTGTGAATGCTCAGTCAACAGGATTCATCCTAGCCTTACTGTGTTGCATTACATGTATGTATGTATGTATGTATGTATATATGTATGTATGTGCAGGGGTATTCTAACATCCAAGCAAGCTTTGTGCAAACAAAGCCGGATGAATGCTCAAATGGGTCATCTGAAAGCATCTTGTCACTCTACATTTTATAAAATTTGTTTGTATCAGTGTTTTAAAGTTGTAAACCGCCTTGGGTGTGAACAGCAGTACAGAATGCAATAAACAAACAAGCAAACAAAACATTTGTGGACTGTGTTTGAGAGAGAGAGAGAGAGAGAGAGAGAGAGAACCAAAATATGTAAATATGCTAAACAGACAATCTATACTAAAACAATTTCTTTTCTTTTCTGGTCCTAAGATGGTTAACAACAGGTCGCTGGCTGGCAGTTCCCAAAAAAAGTTTTGTTCGTTCTGCTCCAGCTCATGCTAAGAACAGGACACGCTTTGGAAACATGCCTGTTTCAGATTTATTTCTCAATAGGTATGCCACATTATATAAACATTTCCAGCTTTTTAAAGCTCCAATCTTAACAACATAATTGCCTTTCTGAATCGCACTTAAGGTTCCTTAAGACGGCTAACATTCCATTGAGAACTAGAGCCATTTGATTGCCTCTGAGAAGCAGGAAGGTGAGGCTGCTTCCTTTGTTTCCCAGTACTTGGGAGATAAACATCCTCTGAATGGGCAAGTTTCATTTTGCTCTCATGGCTTATAGCCCTTGATGAAACATAACGGCCCATCTCATTCAGCATCCTCTTTCTCACAAATACCTATTATTTATCAATGGCATTTGGATGCCAGCCCAGGATAACAAGCTTTCTGGGTGGTGTACAATTCATAAATTTAATTTATAGTCCTCTGTGGATAAGACACACAGTTTGTATTCACCAGGAGCCGTGCATACAATATTGTGAGCCCAATTTTGTGGAGCATCCTCCCAGCTGAGATCAGACAGGCCCTCTGCTTCTAGCACCTGTTGTTGTTGTTTAGTCGTTTAGTCGTGTCCGACTCTTCGTGACCCCATGGACCAGAGCACGCCAGGCACTCCTGTCTTCCACTGCCTCCTGCAGTTTGGTCAAACTCATGCTGGTAGCTTTGAGAACACTGTCCAACCATCTCGTCCTCTGTCGACCCCTTCTTCTTGTGCCCTCCATCTTTCCCAACATCAGGGTCTTTTCCAGGGAGTCTTCTCTTCTCATGAGGTGGCCAAAGTATTGGAGCCTCAGCTTCACGATCTGTCCTTCCAGTGAGCACTCAGGGCTGATTTCCTTCAGAATGGAGAGGTTTGATCTTCTTGCAGTCCATGGGACTTTCAAGAGTCTCCTCCAGCACCATAATTCAAAAGCATCAATTCTTTGGCGATCAGCCTTCTTTATGGTCCAGCTCTCACTTCCATACATCACTACTGGGAAAACCATAGCTTTAACTATACGGTCCATGGGGTCACAAAGAGTCGGACACGACTAAACAACAACAAATGATAACTAATCGCTGTGAGATGCTGTATGTTGCTTAAGTAATCTTCCCATACAGAATCGTAGACTTGGACAGCATCATGAGGGTCACCGAGTCCAACCTCCTGCAATGCAGGAATCTTCTGCCCAACGCTCACACTCATGATCCTGAGATTACCAACCTCATCCCCTACTAACTGAGCTATACCAGTTAAATATACAAAGTATTCAAATGTTCATTTGTATTATATTTTTTGCCTTGTGGTGCCATCGCGAAATCGTTTCTCGTAGCGCCCGCTTGAAAATTAAAAAGGGTAAAAGGACCCCTGACCATTAGGTCCAGTTGTGGCTGACTCTGGGGTTGCGGCGCTCATCTCGCTTTATTATGGCCGAAGGAGCCGGCGTACAGCTTCCGGGTCATGTGGTCAGCACGACTAAGCTGCTTCTGGCTAACCAGAGCAGCGCACGGAAACGCAGTTTACCTTCCTGCTGGAGAGGTACCTATTTATCTACTTGCACTTTGAAGAGCTTTCGAACTGCTAGGTTGGCAGGAGCAGGGACCGAGCAACGGGAGCTCACCCCGTCGCGGAGATTCGAACCGCCGACCTTCTAATCGACAAGTCCTAGGCTCTGTATGCACCCCTAAAAGAAACAGAGATGTATGTCATAATTGGAAAAAAACAAAGTGCAAGAGTCAATTTGAAAACAATTATGGTATAAAAATGATAAGAACATAACAATATTCAACTTAAAGAATTCAATGGTAAGGTATCATAAAATAAGCTGGAGAAGTTAATATGTAAAGAACCAGAAAAGGAAGTTGAGGGGGGAGTCCGGGAATTGTATTTTTCTTTCTCTTTGAGATAACGTTATTGCGATGAATATAAAACTGCAAAACTTAATTAAAACTATTTTTTTTAAAAAAAAACAAAGAACATTATGCACCCCTTCTTCCTTTTGCTGCAAGCAGCCCCGAGCAGGATCTCATTATCCTTACTCGTTTCGCGGGCGAAAGCGGCATACAAAACCGAATCCCCGAACGCGCGCCCCCCCCCACCCGCCCAGGGCGCTCGATTTGCGTAAGCGACGCCCCACCTGCTTATATTTGCATATGGGCCACGCCCCCTCTCCTCGCGCGGTCCTCTCTGCCTCCCCGGCGCTCTCCTCAGCTGCTCGGCTCGCGGGAGCGGCGGCGGCGGCGCATGCGCGGGAGGCGGTGGTTGCCCTGGCATCGCAGCTGAGGGAGCCGCAGCCCGTGAGGGGGACGACGGAGGGGAAGCGCGCGGAGAGGCGGCGGCGGCGGCGGCGGCGCCCCTGAAACCCCGGGAGCGGCCGGAGGAGGAGGAGGAGGAGGAGGCAGAGGGCCGCCCGGGCCCCGTCTTGGCCGAGATGAGGGACCGCCTGGCCGAGCTGGCAGCGGTGAGGGCGGCGGCGGCGGCAGAGGGAGGGTCCCGGGGGGGGGCGGGGGGGTTGTCAGCCTGGCATCAGGTTGTCTGGAAGGCGCCCCCTAGAGGGGCTCCAGCCCCTGGGGTGGGGTTCCGGGGGGCTTACTTTGGAGTAGGCGCGCCCCGGGGTCGCTGAGCCCCGAGTTCGGGTCCACCTCGCGCTGCTGCTCTCGGGTGTAACGTAAAACGTATAAATATGAAATCGGGTGCTATTTTATTGTTAGGATTTATTCGTTTGTTCCCCCCCCCCCCTTCTTCAGCGCGACTTCTGAGTAGGCATATGTAAAGGGGCTGGGCACTTCGCAGCATCCTCGTGTTGTTGCACTCGTGAAAGACTCGTGTCGATGCTAAACGTGTGTGTTTTTGTGTGCATATTATTATTATTTATTAGTTTGCTGGATTTCGGTTGGGGGGGTTGTTTTGTTTTTTGTTTACTTTGTTTACAGCGGGTCTTTGCTTTTGAATAGGCGCCTAAAGGGCTGGGCTCCGTGTTAGCAGCATCCTTGCTTTGCTCTCATAAAAAAAAACCTAAAAAAACAAACCCCCGTGTTAATATAAAATGTGAGTGCGCATTTCATTAATGTTGTTGTTTTCATTATTATTGTGCTGGATTTATTCATTTGGGGGTTATTTGCTTACTTTAAAGAGACATTTTTTTGAGTGTGTGTGTATGTATGTATTATCTCTCCATCTGAAGATCACAGGGCAGTTTGCAGTGTAAAAATACAAATTGAGAAGACAAATAACAGGAAAAACATAAGCAATAACCTGCTTCTAAAAGGCTAAGCATGAACATGCTATTTAAAATGGGTATTTAGCTCTCACAATTTTGTCTGTGTGTGTGTGTGTGTGTGTGTGTGTGTGTGTAGAGCCTTGAAAATATGTAAAAGAGCTCTTAATTCATAGCATTCTCCTTGCCTTACTCTCATTAAAGCCTCATGTTAATATAAAATGTGCATGTGCACTTTTATTATGATGATTATTGTGCTGTATTCGGTTTTGGATTTTTTTTTACTTTAATGGGGCTTAACTTTGAGTAGGTGTGTAAAGGACTGGGCTCTGAGTATGTGTTTGTCTTAAAATGTGCATGTGCACTATATTATTATGTTGGATTGCTTCGTTGTTTTTTCTTTTTCTTTAATAGGGCTTACTTTTGAGTAGGCAAGTAAGGGATTGCTCTTGAGGACTGTCTTTATCTGACCTGTGCACGAATTTCATAAAGACTCCTGTGTATGCATATTTTTATTATGCTAGATTGATTAGCTTTTGTTTTTTACATTTTCTTTTATGGGACTCACTTTTGAGTAGCTTGAGATCTGTCTTTATAGCATCCTCATTGTACTGCTCTCATAAAAACTCGTTTCAGATAAAATGTGTGCATGTATGTTTTTACTATGCTAAATTGATCTGTTTTTCTTTACTGCTCCAGATTCTCATTGTGTGCAGAAAAGCAGAACATGCTTAGAAACATATATAATCTAACACATATACACATTATATAATGTACATATTAAAATGTGTATGTGCCTGTGTACACACCATACATTTAAAGCACATCCCTCCCAAAGAATCTTAGAAACTGTAGTTTAAGTGTGCTGGAAATTGTAGCTCTGAGGAGTGAACTGCAGTTCCCAAGGTTCATTGGGTAGGGAAATCTGTAGTGTATATGCTCCCTTTTTCTTTTTTACATTTTCATAATTTTTTTACAAAAAGGTATAAACAAGTTTAATGACTATCTAGTACAGTACAATAAAAATATGTGTGCATAAATTTAATATAATAGAGCTTGTTTGTTTTTAGAGGCATCTAATGTAAAGTGTGTTTGTGCAACTGTGTATGTATTGGACTGGATTGTACTTATCTTTTAAATGGGTGGATAACCTGCAATCCTTCAGGTGTTTCTGTACTCCTTAACTCCTCTTACAACAGGGACTATAAGAATGGATGATGGGAGTTTTAGTTACCTTTTAAAAATATTTAACGCTTTCCCAGTTGGTTTGCTGTGGTTAGCTTCAGAAGTACCTGTTTCTTCTGTGATTTTTTAGATGCTAGGAAGAGGTGTATTTCAAGCCCTTGTTGCATCTAAGAATTATTTTCTTCCCTGACATTCTGAAGCAGTGGAGCCACATTTGACTTCCTTTGCCCCATATAGCATTCCTAAGGGTAAGAACAATTTGCCCTTAGAAGAACACAGATCTTCCTTAATGCTTTCTGCATGTGTTAGAGAAAGCCCAGAGTAGTAATTAATACAGAACAGGCCACTTCTTCTGACAGTGGATAAGTCTGCGGTATCTCTCTGCTGGAAGGGATCAAATACTCAAATCACACCTAATGCAGAGATGTGTCAAATTACCCACCCTGGTTGGAATGCAGTAGCTGAGGTGCAGTGGGGAGGTGTTTGGGTGGGTTGGTATTTGGGACTTACAATTTCTTCTAATGATTGGTTTAGTTTTGCATACAGTTTGGCAGCTGCCCTTATAGGTGGTTTACCTTCAGAGTATGGTTAATGAATGAGATGTTCTTTGAGGGATGTGCAAGTTGGGGTCAGGTGCATTTGTGCCAGTGTAAAGGAACTTTAAGGCAGTGCATCATGTTGATGATGGTTGGAGGCAAAGGTGCCGAGTTGCGCCCAACATTGGGGTACCCATCGTTCGTGCATGATGTCACACGCACATGGCCCCCCAAACCAGTTAGGTCAACTCACCCCTACCCCACCCCCATCTTAAGTTGTCTTTGTTTGCGCTGTCTCAAGGCTAAGGCTGCCTTAGCGAGGCTAATTCTTCCCCCTTCGTGGGGCTTGCTGACGTGCTTTAGTGCATCCCTTTGAGTTTGCCAGGGCGCCTTCTTGGAGGGCGCCCTGGCAATCATCAAAGGGATGAGCTGGGATGAAGATGTTTTGCCCCACCACATCCCTGGTGGAGGACGCACCAGGGCAAATACAGTTCACCCCACCATGTCCCTAGCACACCTTTCAATAAGTAGCCCTTGCAATCCTCAAAGGGATGCACCAGTGCGAAGATCCCTAGCCCACAAATATTGAGGGGGCTGAGGACAGCTTGGCCCCTGGGTTTGTCATGCTTGTTTGGAGGTGACATTTGGTGCATGAGATGGCAACTGGAATGGGGAGGTGAATGAATGTGATGTCTGTGGGGCAGAGGTTTGAAATCCGTACTATAACTGCTAGGGATCTATGAGAAGGCATGGGTTAAAGTGAGGCACAGTCTCTAAGAAGCAAAACCCTGAACTGGTTCCTGGATGAAGTGCAACTTCCTGAGGTAGCTTTAGGCAAGCTGTATCTCTTGGGCTCATGCTTCCAAAGAAGAAGGTGGTGGGTGGGGACTGGAAGAAACAAAGTCACTGTGAGGATCGGTACACAGGAACAGATGCATTGTGTGAAGTGTAACTGAGGCTGTGTACACACTAACCCATTTGCAGCACAAAAATGTAGTTTTTCACAATTTGGAATTATTCAAGTTTGTCCTCAGCATGCCTCTTCCCGTCTTGATTGATTTGCGATCCTGTCATCCACAAGGGTGGGTGTGGTTAATTTATATGCTTTTGAAAACCCTCCCCTTGATTAGGTTATCCATTCCTTTTCCTTCCTGCACTTGTCCAAGGTGAATGAAGGAGGAAGTGGTGATCTTGGTATGTACCTATCTGGTATCTTATTGGGCAGGTGTGGATACACACACACACACACACACACGGCCCATTCCTACATCTGTTTTCAAGTGGACATACTGTGAGGTGGTGCAGAATCAATCCACGTTAAGTTTTTATTTTCAGAATGAAGCCAGATTTTCAGGAAGTGTTTTTCAGGGGGGCAAGTGTATATGTAGTAGAGTTTTATTGCACATGGGCTACATAGAAAAAGCAAGTACACAGTCTATTGTTTCTAGAAGTCACATGTTGTGTTTATGTAGCCTGAGCATGGTAATCATGCTAGTGAGGCAAATGGGAAGGAGCGCATTGCTCAGGTGTTACAGATTGGGAAATGTGCATTGACTTTAGATGGGTTGTGTAGGCAGGGAATAGAGAGCAGCAGCTGCTGCAAGGGAAGTGGATGTGAATTGGTTTAAACTAGATGGAGCTTATGGGAGGGTAGTCAAGCTTCGGTGGGATATTTATGAAAAGATAAATCTATGCCATCCTCCAGTCAATGGATTGAGGATATGACAACACTCACAACTTATGAACTGATTGCTTGTAGACGTAGACGGTATGTGGACAAGTATAATGTTATTAGGAATACGTTTATTAAAATGCAGTTGTACCTCATAAGTTGAACGCTTTGCGATTCAAAACTTTCTGGCTCCTGAACACAGCAAACCCAAAAGTGAGTGTTCCAGTTTGCGAATGTTCTTTGGAACCCAAACGTCCGACATGGGTTCTGTGGTTTCTGAACATTTTGGAAGTCAAACAGATTGACTTCCGAGGTAAACTGTATAGTGGGTTATAAATAACCATATATGTATTTGGATGATAGTAACATTTATATACATATGTACTCGTCTAGCATATATGGAATTGTAGTTGTTTGCATATATAGTGACATAATATACCTTCCTCCCCTTTTTTCTTTTTTAAATTCACTTTTTATTTCCATTTTATTTTGTTCAGTTGACATATTCTTAATAAAAAATAGTAATAAAAAAGCTGGGGTGGGATATGACTGTTGGAGTGGTGTTTTGAGAGGATCACGGGGTGTTAGACTGGTCAGTATGGCAGCATGGAGGGGATGCTACCAAGTTGAGTCATGACATGTACCATTTGAGTGAGGCTTTGTGGTACATTAATCTGCGTGGCATGACTGATGTGGGTTTGGGGAGTTGAGTTGTGAGGCAGTAACTGGATTTGAACAGCAACCATGTGAGCATGTACACACATATAATAATAATTTACATAATTTTATATGCCGCCCACCCGACTGGCTTACCCCAGCCGCTCAGCAAAATATATGTAACCTGATCCATGAATCAGGGGAAGCTTAGCATGAGAGCTAATGCAGAAAGCAGAATCCAGCTTGGGCCTGTATCACAGGCGCTGGGATAGTCAGGAGATGCAAACAGGAAATATGGGTCAGGAAGGGTTGCCATGTGGTAAGGATAGCGTGCAAAGGAAAAGCAACAGATTAGCCTTGAAAATTTCAAATAAAGGCATGATGGGAAATTGAGTGTTAGTCCAAGTTTTTGTGGATCCTGTGCTGATCTCATCTTATTTCACCCCGTGGTCCTCTACCCCAGTCTCAAAATGCAGCTGCCTACCCACATGCACTGCATTCGTTTCCATTGCCCCAACTCTCGCATTTCTTGTTTCCCATTTGTGTGTTCCTGTGGCGGTTTCTCTGTCTTTTGACCCAATTTCTTCTTGGTTTACTCTGTAAAATATCATGTATGCTTTATCAATACGTTGTTGTTGTTTAGTCGTTTAGTCGTGTCCGACTCTTCGTGACCCCATGGACCAGAGCACGCCAGGCACTCCTGTCTTCCACTGCCTCCTGCAGTTTGGACAGGCTCATGCTGGTAGCTTCGAGAATACCATCCAACCATCTCATCCTCTGTCGTCCCCTTCTCCTTGTGCCCTCCATCTTTCCCAACATCAGGGTCTTTTCCAGGGAGTCTTCTCTTCTCATGAGGTGACCAAAGTATTGGAGCCTCAACTTCATGATCTGTCCTTCCAGTGAGCACTCAGGGCTGATTTCCTTAAGAATGGATAGGTTTGATCTTCTTGCAGTCCATGGGACTCTCAAGAGTCTCCTCCAGCACCATAATTCAAAAGCATCAATTCTTCGGCCATCAGCCTTCTTTATGGTCCAGCTCTCACTTCCATACATCACTATTTATCAATACAAGCACACCTTATTATATTGCATGTCAAAGATATTGCTCCTTACGAGGACATGGGCAGTCTGGCCACTTCCAGGGGAAGGAAGTCCTCCACTATTCTGCTTCTGGCCACGGGAGTGGAGCTGACTGGGGCTGGAACTGGGCTTTCCCCCTCTCACTCCTGCAGCCAGCAGGACTTGGCATAATAGACTACTATATAGTGTAAACATCACTTTTATATGCACTAGCACTGGGGAACAAATAATAATAATGCTTAACTCGCTTTATTACAATACTTGCTTTATTGAGAGTGGTCTGGAACTGAACCCACAATATCTCCAAGGTATGCAATGCAGTGGTACCTCAGGTTACAGACACTTCAAGTTAGACTCTGCTAACCCAGGAATAGTACCTCGGGTTAAGAACTTTGCTTCAGGATGAAAACAGAAATTGCACGGCGGCGGCAGCGGGAGGCCCCATTAACTAAAGTGGTACCTCAGGTTAAGAACAGTTTCAGGTTAAGAACGGACCTCTGGAACGAATTAAGTTCTTAACCTGAGGTACCACTGTAGAACTAAATGTAATAGAACTAAAATGAATATTAATTCATATAGTGTTTAACTTCACATAAGGATCAGAGAGGGAATCTTCCAGGAAATTGCGCACACACACATACAGTACCTTTGAGATAAATTTCTGTACTGTGAAAAAAGAGTCACTTCATTATCTGTTTTGCTAGAAAACAGGAGGTGTAACTAATCCTGCAATTTTTAATGTGATTTGCTAGTGTAGTTTTCAGGTTTTGTGCAAATCTGAGGGGTCAAAGGGGGAAACAGTTCAGGAACATGCTTGAACTAGTTAGGGGCACAGCTGGAGAGAAATGAAAGCATTGACGGAATCAGTGTGTGTGGAAAAGGGGAGTTGCAGAAAGTGGTAATTCATCTACCCACCCAAAAACAGAGAAGTAAATTGCAACCCTGAGTGCTGTGTTTTGGAACCCAATTTTCCCCAGTTCATTAGTGGGTAAACCTGTATTTAGAGGGGGAAAGCGATGAGATCGGTGGCATGTTTGGGAACTGGCTATTCTCCCACCCTAGGTTTCTATGTGCAGGGATTCTTGTCTTTGGTTTTATACAGAAAAACCTTTGGACTTGTGAGTTTGAAGTGGTGTAGTTAAGAGGCAGGTTGCTCGTGTGAGAATCAGTCCCCTGAGGAGCGGAAACGCCCCTCTGTTGTTCAAATCAGCCCCCGTTATAGCAGTTACAGATGCAGATAAGATTATTTCTCTGTTTTATGCCCATGGGGAAAGGGATAGGGATTGCGTGGCTCTTCCAGAGGCTGTTGGACTCCCAACTCTCACCAGCCCCTGCCAGCATGGCCAACAGGGAGGGATGATGAGAATTGCACTTCAGCAAAGTTAGGAGGGCCAGAGGCGTTTGAGCTTCCTTTGGGAACAATGAAAGTACTGCATCTGCCTGCATTTTTTGTATGTTTACAAGTGGGCATTCAAGCTGTGTGTGTGAGTGAGAGAGAGAGAGATACATATATGCTTTCCTTCCGCCTATTCTTATCTCTTCCTGACGCAGCAAAAGTTGAGAGGGAGGTGTTGAGGGTGTGAGAGAGAGGTCTTTTGTTTTAGCATTGGTGGAAACTCATGAAATGGCGTTTGGAGAATTATGCCTTCGGCTTTTGCATCTGTATTCTGGAGAGCACCAAAGCAGTGCAATATACCTATCTTGTTTTCCCAATAACCCTTCAGGATAGGCTGTTCCTATTTGATTTAGCTACATCCAAAGTTGCTCTATCACTGTCATGTGGGTGTGATTGGAATACAGGGTTGTTGTTATTGTTGTCGTTATTGTTTTGCATCTTACAGTTAAGCTATTGCAGGGGCAGGGAACCTCTAGCCCATGGACCCGCGAGGCCCTTTCTCCACACCTGATGTAGTATGAAATGTAAGGTTTGGGTTGTGTAGCTGCCAACGCACAATCAGAAGCCTTAAGCCTATTTTTATTTTAACTTTTTGAAAGTCTTGAATTAGCGTTCATTTTTCTTACAATTTTACTGTTTTATTGTTTTTGTAAATTACTTTGAGGTTGTTGTTTTTTTTTAAAAAAGCCATGTATCAGTTTTTTGAAATGCTGCCGAACTCCTTCACATGCCCAGTGCTTGTAGAACGCAGGCTTTGGTTGTATTGCATGTTTAGGTAAAGATAAAGGGACCCCTGACCATTAGGTCCAGTCGTGGCCGACTCTGGGGTTGCGGCGCTCATCTCGCTTTATTGGCCGAGGGAGCCGGCGTACAGCTTCTGGGTCATGTGGCCAGCATGACTAAGCCGCTTCTGGCGAAACCAGAGCAGCGCACAGAAACTCCATTTACCTTCCCACCAGGGCGTTACCTATTTATCTACTTTGCACTTCGAACTGCTAGGTTGGCAGAAGCTGGGACCGAGCAACAGGAGCTCACCCCGTCACGGGGATTCAAACCACCGACCTTCTGGTCGGCAAGCCCTAGGCCCTGTGGTTTAACCCACAGCGCCACCCGTGTCTCTTGCGTGGGAGGGTTCTTTGTGCGTATTGCATTGCAGCCACAGACACAAACACACAATTTCGAGGAGACAACCAACCACTCAGCTGAGTAGAGTTTGGATCAGGGAACTGTCCCAGATGCAACCGTCAGTCTAAGCTAGAACGATGATAAGTTGTTCTTCCAGGGCCGCTGGGTGCTGAGGTGGCTATAGAAAACGGGACTTATTCAAGCAAAGCAGAATGGAGAATTGGGTTAACAGATGTTAGCCCCACTGGTTTTTCTTAGACTTGCTCCCTAGTAAGTGTGCATAGGATCACAGCCTTAACTACATAATTAGGAAGTGCTTAAATGGAAAAAAACATTTCATAAGTTATTCTCCAAAGACTTCATAGGAAAGTTTGAGGAATAAATATTTCCGATCTGTCTTGTGTGCCATAAGCTTGTTCTACGTCTTTCCAGTGAGTCATGGGGGGTGCAGGGAGCACAGGAGGGAAAGACCTGTTTATTGCACATGAGGGAAAATCAGTAATGATTTTTTGTTGTCAGTGTTTTAAGTGTGGTTTAGTGCAGCAAGTACTAGCCTTAAAATGTAGTTTGATTAGTAAAATATGTTGTTATACACAAGGACAAAGTGATAGCTAATTTTATTGCTATATAATAGCTTGCAAAGCTAGAAATCATCATCTTCTTTTTTGTCTTGAGGTTGAAACAAATTTGTTTCTTTTAATGCAGGCACAAGGAACCTCTGGCTCTCCAGATGTTCCCAAACTACAACTCCCATCTTTCCTGGCCATTAGCCATGCTTGTTGGAGGTGATGGGAGTTGTAGTTCAACAACATCAGGAGGGCCAAAAGTTCCCTACCAGTGTTTTAATGGATATCTTTGAATAACATAATACTTGTTTTTTTAAAGCGCACCCAAAATGAAGATGGAGAGGCATCTGTTGTTGTTGAAAATGACCATTATATGGAAGACTTCTTCCAGCAGGTAAGATGCATGCAAGAGACTACCAAGAAGGAGCTACATATTGTAATAATCATATTTATTTAATGCAGTAAATCATAGAATTGTAGAGTTGGAAGGGACCCCTGTGCTTGGCACTTATGAAGGCTGCAAAGCTTGCTCAGCATGCATCCCTTTTCAAATGCCTGACAATCAGCTGGTTGACGGGTGTTTGGGAAGTGCTGCATACAGGGATGAATTACCGTATTTTTTGCTCTATAAGACTCACTTTTTCCCTCCTAAAAAGTAAGGGGAAATGTGTGTGCGTCTTATGGAGCGAATGCAGGATGCACAGCTATCCCAGGAGCCAGAACAGCAAGAAGGATTGCTGCTTTCACTGCACAGTGATCCCTCTTGCTGTTCTGGCTTCTGAGATTCAGAATATTTTTTTTCTTGTTTTCCTCCTCCAAAAACTAGGTGCGTCTTGTGGTCTGGTGCGTCTTATAGAGTGAAAAATACGGTATCTCTACCACCCTACCCTCATGGACCAGCTTTGATAGGTCTCTATCAATCGATTCCATTACAATGCCAGATAACTGACAGGTGGATGGTTGCATCCACATGTCAAAGTCGCAGCCACCCACAGGGGACAGGGGCATAAATATCTTGCCCTCCTGGTCAAAAAGGTCCCCCACTCTTGGTTTTGGAACCTCTGAACTTGGGTTTGAAGATGAGTTCTGGGTGACAAAGGTTGGCCTATGTTAACCAAAGTGAGTTCCAAAAATTCTGTGTTCCTAGTTTAAAAGTAATTCTCTCCTTGCTGTTTTCCAACCTTCATCTCAGTCCTGGCATATGTATAAGAGAACCATCACAACTTGGTGAAGTAATGATCACCTTTCACCAGCAATATATTTCCTCTTTCTTTGATCAGGGCTTCTGTAACTTACCTGGGCGGGTAATAAATTAAATTAATTTGCCCCCTCCCAACATTTTTAAATTGTAATAACTACAAATAGACTCAGAAAAAAAGAAAAGAAAGAAAAAATAGTTTTAAAAGAAAAGCGGGGAGTTGTCAAAGTTGGAAATAAAGGAATATGCAGTTTACTAAGTAAATAACAAAACATATTAAAGGGAAGGGAAGTGTGGCCTAAATCAAAACAATTACATACTTTCATTTCACACAACCCCAACCGTCAACAGTACTCATTCCAAACACTCGCATAGACCTGTGGTACCTGACACACCTGAGCCACTGTGTTTGTATATAAAATAAAATTAGACCAAACGACGAGCAAGTGATCTCAAGCACTTTGGCCCCTGATCACTTTTAACTTATGTGAGACTTTTTTTTCCAAGAAGGGCAATTTGCCAAGTCTTGGAATACCAGTAGTCCAGATTATTGAGATCAAATGTCTTCCAAAATGTGACAATTGTGACATGGGTTGCTGTCAAAAGATGTGAAATCAGTTCCTTGTTATTTGGGTCTCGATCGGAATCTGTGAACAAATTCAAAAGAGCCAGACAGGGGAAGGATGAATCGTAGAATTCTAGAGTTGAAAGGGACCACGAGGGACGTCTAGCCACAACCTCTGGCAATATGGGCATCTTTTTGTCCAACTTGGGGCTCGAACCCTTGACCCTAAGATTAAGAGTCTCATGCTCTACTGACTGAGCTATTCTAGTTGCTCTCAGAATATACTTTTCCTTTGAAGCACTCCTATCACATTGAAATAATGGATAACATAACATATTGTGAAAATGTCTTGGATAAATTTGTGCAATATTTTGATTGTAGCTTGACTTACAGCCCGTGCTTTTTTTCCTTAAAAAATGTTTAGGGGCACTCTCATTTTCCTACTCATATTGAAATTTGTTGTTTAGTCGTGTTCGACTCTTCATGACCCCATGGACCAGAGCACGCCAGGCACTCCTGTCTTCCACTGCCTCCCACAGTTGAAATACTTGCCCCTTAATGAGGCCAAACTTAGATTTGCAAAATGTATAGGGGTATGCATCCCCCCAGAAAAAATCACTGCTTACAGCAAACTGTAATATGGGTTTTCTGGGAAATTTCTGATACCCAAGAGATTAGTCCCATTTAGCATGCTTATTTTACTTGTACTTGGTAAACAAAGCTAAAAACGTCTGAAACAACCAAGCTTGCCTAATATTGTATCAGCAGTTGGTGTCCAGTCATTATTACTGATAAACTTATGAAATGGAAAATACCCTGCTTCACTGACAGAAAAGGGGTGTGTTGTTGTTCCTCCTTGTTCTAGGATATCATCTCTTGCTAGGCGCTACCTAATGGACCCACTCAGACAAATGAACTGTGGATTTAGTATTGCAACAGATTATTGGCTCATTGTGATTAGAAGCAAAGCTACCTCTCCCTTTGCTGAATTTATTCATTTCTCTCTCTCGTTGATGTTCTCTTTAAAGGTTGAGGAAGTTAGAAAGTACATTACCAAAATAGCAGACGTTGTGGAAGAAGTGAAGAAGAAGCACAGCGTTATTCTTTCTGCCACACATCCTAAAGACAGTAAGCTTTTCATTTTGTGACTCTGAAAATGCATGCTCACTGAATTTGCATGAAAGGTTATAGTCTGTGATGGGTTAGCAAGTGAAGCTAGAATAGAATAGAGAGCTAAGTGGGGGATGCTTGTGTAATCTCACTGTATACAAGTTGTACAAGTGACAATAAAGTTTTTTAAAAAAAAAAAACAAAAAAAGGCAAGGCAAGCCTATCTTGGAAAGGTCCAGGTGTTTTCTGTGGGTGGCATCACTTCCTCTGTAACCTCTTTGGTGCTTGTGCATACTAGAATCTGTGTACCACACCTGTCCCCAACAACCAGTGCCTGCGCAGGAAAGTGTGTGCTTCTCAGTGTGGCATTCTGCCTTGATGGGGGTCATTAGGGGCATTTTATTTATTTATTTGCTTTCCCCCTTTTGTGGATGCTGTGAGAAAGATTCATCAGGCCTTAGCCAGCTCCTGCCATTTCTCACAAAATCCACAAGGAAACTTTGGTCTCGGCGTAATGTTTGCTACACATGGCTCTTTTGCAGGAAACATTCCAAGGTGCTCCCAAGGAGGGGAAAAGTTTATGGTTTTGATCTGATCCTCTGGCTCCCTAAATGCTTTCTATATGGCCAGGGGGCAGTCAGCACATCTAGTTTCACATTTTGTGGAGCTAGGTGGATAAGCTTCTCCCAGACTTCTGCTCTATTCTGCAGGTTGTGGTGTTGGAGTGGTCCACACTAGTGATGTTAAATTCTCAAGAATAATCTATTGGAGAATAGTCTCAAGAATATTCTCGATTAATGAGAATATTAGAGAATTTACATTTAAAATAGGAGAATATTCATTTTAATGCATTGAAAATTACATAAATAGTTAATATACCTGTTTATTCATGGGTAAACTTGTTCAGATGTCAACCAAAACCTGTACAGATACATTTATTCAATGGGGCAATGCAGTGAATTACATTCTTAGATTTTTTGCACCAAACTTGAAATTGAAAATTCAACGTGAATGACTCACGTTAATCACTAAGCCTGCCACTAACCATATGTTTACCATCAACTTTGAATTCTATTTATGTTGTGTATGTATGAAGTGTAGCTTTTAAAGTGGAAGGAATTAAAAAAAAACTCCTCAGGTCCGCTACATGAGTACATTCTTTAATAAGCATATCTACATGGTACTGTATTTTCAGTGCAACACTAATAAAATCAATATAAATTTTAAACTAAATGCTATTATTTCCAGTAAATAAAACACAAATGGTTTTATTATGCCCAATGCCCAGTTATGTAACTGGATAAAAAAAAAATCATTATTCATTACTTACACTGGCAATATCACAGCTCGATTTATTATTTACTAGGTTTTTTAAATGTGGGTTGGTTCTTATGTTAGAATTTACAGTTTGTGGAGAATATTCTCCGGAAAGAATTTTCTAGCAGAGAATATTCTCAAGAATATTCTCATTCTCGAGAATATTCAATAGAATATTCTTACCTCACATCACTAGTCCACGCCATACCATGTAAAAAACAAAAAAACCCACACCCACTTGCACCTTGCAAACAAGAGTAGCATATCAGGAGAAGGAGTGCCAGGCCAGCTTTTATGAAGAAGGAAGATGCATCTTGTAACACTTGTAGGGACTGGGCTGGAAAAGGAGGATGTGATGATGAGCTTCTCTTTCCCCAGAGAGCAAGGCTGGCTAGGTTGCTTTGGCCTGAGGGCTGCATTCACCCTTGGCCAACCCTCGGAGACTCCATGCCAGCAGCAAGTGTTGCTGAAAGTGGGTGTGACCATCTCACACTCTAACCAGCATGCTTGCATACACATGGACAGAGACATGCACACACGCAGGCACACAGCCTCCCCTTGCCTCTGCTGATCCCTGCCCTGTGTTGTGCATGATTTGTTTTTTATACTGCAACCATAAAGAATTGGTGCTGTATTGAGGTCATGTTTAAAAAATTGCACGAGCCCGAACTGAGGGACTCCATCCATTGAGGCCTGCCTCAGCCTGATAGTGCTGGAATAACATCTTTTATTGTCCTGACAGAGCAATCTATACCTTTTCATCCCAAATGCTTACCTGCTGCCACCTCAGATCTTCGGATCAGGCCCTCCCATCCAAACCTAGAGTCCAGATAAAATGAAAACGCAAGGATTTAAGCTAGGGTAGTTCCATCAGCATTTGTGGGTCTAAGGCTGGTAGTGCATTTTCACTGACACCACTAAGGCTTACTTTCAAGTAAACATGCCTAGAGGTAAGGTAGAATTTATTTATTTTTTAAAAAAGAAACTTAGTTATTTGGATTAACTGTGCTGTGCCTATTGAGCACGAGACTTTAAAAAATCCACTTGTTTCCCTAACAGTTGTGATCATGAGCTAATTTTAGCTCTCTATACATCTAAGAGCAGAATGAGCTAAATGCAGCATACACTATTCTCTAGAGAAATACGAAGCAGTGCTTGGTACAGTTGTTTGGCTGGCAGGGGGTGGGACGACAATGATCCGCTAATGGAGGCTCAGATATATAGAGCATTGTTTTATAAGAAATCATTTAAATTTTAAACGGATGTCTGTGGTTATGTAAAGTATGAATTGATTGCAGCTATTTCTTGTCTGCTAGCTTGATTTGGAAGATGATACAAAACTGGAATTACTATTTTTTAATCACTAATAAAGTGCAGGTGTCAAAAGATAAGGCAGTCCTTGCCTACAGTCTCAGTGTCTAATAGACATGAATATTTAAAGGCTGTAGACCAAATAAACCAGTAGAAATAGACACAACACAAAAGGGAAAACGAGCAGTAAGGGTAGAATAAAGCAAACCATTTCAGATTTCACTTTTCCAATTTAGATGTTTTGCTTATGCTGGTCTGTGACTGTAATAAAGTAAATTCACTTTTTCAAGTTGCATGATCTCAGTGGTATTGAAGCCAGGTCTCTCCCAGTCTTTAAGTAAACAAATCATTCCAGCAGTCCTTAGTCCCCTAGTTAATGGCAGAGTCCAGAGTGTGCTTTTCCCCCACTCTGCTGTTCCAGGGCAATTTGCAGTTGGAGCCAAATTATTTCTGCAGTTCTTTCTGGCTCCTAGGAGATGGAAGCAGGCTTCCTCTAGCTCCTGTTTCTCTGCCTGTGGCCCTTGCCATGACACATAGGAAGCGGGGGCCTGCAACCACTTTGCATTGACTCAGTCCAGGATCATTTCAGCCATATAGGATGAGCCTGGAGCAGGGCAGTGTTGTTTCTGGTGCAAGGCTCTGCAGGGTCTGGGGATCTTTTAGCCAGAAACAGCGCACCACTATGTCTGGGTACTGTTTTCTTTCTTTTTAATTAATTGTTTATTAAAGTTTTTTCATAATACAAGACGATAAAAGAGACTAGTCTACATAAGAGCAATGCAGAATTTGGGGGCTGTTTTCTGAGGGGCAGGAGCACTTAATAAGCAAAGCTTATTCTTAAGCTGTCGTTTGTCATAAACAGCTCTAAAAGATGTTTCAAAATTCCTCCTTTTTAAGAAACAAAGGAAGAACTTGAAGAACTGAACAAAGAGATCAGGAAAACAGCAAATATCGTTCGTGCTAAGTTGAAAAGTAAGTGCTGTTATTGTAACATCTATAGCACACTAAAGGCCTGATTCCTAAAATACTGTGTCACATAGCTGAGTGCAAAGTAACACAAGTCAGGCCATAGTTGTGTAACGGTGTCATTGGTAGGCTTTTATAGCCTTACAGCAGGCGTGCACAACTTGCTGCTAGTCAAGCCAAACGCAGCCTACCAGGCAAAAATAGTAGCTCACAAATGGTCTGTTTCACACATAGCACTAAGCTGTGGTTTGTTTAACAAACCAAGAGTTAGCTATAAGTTATACAGATTACCAAGCAAACCATGGTTTGTGTAGGCAAAGCTTTGTTCTGTTCTCCCCCCCCCCCCGGCTCCTCACTGCCTGAATGGGTGGCTCTGTGGGTTAAACCACAGAGCCTAGGACTTGCCAATCAGAAGGTCAGCGGTTCGAATCCCCGCGACGGGGTGAGCTCCCATTGCTCCGTCCCTGCTCCTGCCAACCTAGCAGTTCGAAAGCACGTCAGAGTGCAAGTAGATAAATAGGTACTGCTCTGGCGGGAAGGTAAACGGCGTTTCTGTGTGCTGCTCTGGTTCGCCAGAAGCAGCTTTGTCATGCTGGCCACATGACCCGGAAGCTGTACGCCGGCTCCCTTGGCCAATAAAGCAAGACGAGCGCCGCAACCCCAGAGTCGGCCACAACTGGACCTAATGGTCAGGGGTCCCTTTACCTTTACCTTTAGTACTGCCTTCCAGTGCCATCCTTCCTTTTTTCACTGGCCAACTGCTGCCGAGGAGGAAACACGTCACATAACGATAGTGGTTGCTATCGCTGACAGCCTGGAACTGCAGAAACGAGACTGACCACAGGGTGGTGGGCAAAATTTGACTCCAAGGGCCACAGGCTGCTTGCAGGCCTGCTTCACAGCGACAGCAAAGAAGTCAGTGTAAAGATTCACAGAGGCATGGTGAGCAGCATATGGGGCAGTTTGTATCTGGCAGGTAGAATTTTTTCTTTTTTTTTAAAGTTCCAGCTTCCATTCTAGTAACAATGTGAGTTTCCCCTAAAGGCTCCCTTCTTCTGTCCCCACTGCAACGAAAGGTAACTGCTATTCTTCAAACAAATTGCGGTCATACCTTGGTTCTCTGACGGAATGTGTTCCGGAAGTCCGTTCGACTTCTGAAAATGTTTGAAAACCAAGGCGCGGCTTCGGATAGGCTGCAAGAGCTTCTTGCACTCAGTCAGAAGTTGTGGAAGCTGCGTCGGACGTTTGGCTTCCGAAAAACGCTCGCAAACTGGAACAATCACTTCCGGGTTTGCGGCGTTTGGGAACCAAAACGTTTGAGTCACAAGGCGTTCGAGAACCAAGGTACAACTGTATATTAAAAAGTAGAAATGACCATCAGCTGTAGAGTCACCTTCCAGATTCTTGATAATATAATGATTATTACGAAAATTGCAACAGCAAGCATAGCAGCTGGTTCTTTCCAGCTAGCCACTTGTTTCCAAGCTGGCCCTCCAGCCTCTGTTGTTTCAAACTAACAAATGGTGCCTGCAACAGAAATTTGCAGCGCCGGGTCCTCCTGTTTAGAGTTCCAGCTAGTCAGCCAGCTGTGTTCTCTTCTAGGATTTTGCATTTTTCTCCTCCTTGTCAATTTTCCTATGCCCAACAGACAGCATTCTGTACACACTGGGCATCCTCTGTCTTCATTGAATAGCTTTTGTTGTGTCCACCCCAGCCCAGCCTTTTAAAGTTATTTAAGAAAAAATAATTGATACTTAAAATTTGATGCCCCCCTCCTGGCCTGCTGCTATCTCCCTCTTTCTTGTGCATTATAGTGCTGTTTTGGCTAAATAGGGTTAGGCTCTTAGACGATCCATTTGCTATTTATAGGATTTAATTCTTGACTGAGTTTTGATTCTGTAGGAAATGTAATTTTTTAATGCAATTTCCATTTTTATGGTAGGGAGTGAAGGGTAGTAACTGTGTGTGGCATCTTAAGTTCCACGAATTGCTTTTGTCTGTTTTGCAGCTATAGAACAAAATTTAGCTCGACATGAGAATGTGAATCGAACTTCAGCTGATGTCAGAATACGAAAATCACAGGTATGGTACGGCTGGTAGGTGCCCTGAAGAGAATTTTAAAGAGAGAGAGAGAGAGATGTGTGTTAGGAAATGGTAGCTCTTTTCTGCTTGAGTTTATGGTTTATTTTCTCATTATTTTGTGTGTGTTCAAAATAATTCAGTTTGAAAGTTAAGTCCCCCGCAAGCACTAAAATGGGAAACAAAGGGGATGATTCACAGAACTAGATGCCTGGATGTGAGCTGTGCTGCATCTGGGTGAGCAGCAAAGCAGTCATTAGACAGCTCCCCACTGTCTTGAGGCTGCCAGCATGACCCTGCACAGCTGTTTCCCTTTAGAGCTGCAAGGTCTGCACTGGTCCAATGTCAGTTCTTTGCTATCCTCCCAAAGTGGGTTGGCCTGCTTTTGGAACAAGCAGTGCATTCTGCATAATTGTAAGTAAGTAAATAACTAAATTTTTATGTACCGTATTTTTCGCTCTATAAGACGCACCTAGTTTTAGAGGAGGAGAACAAGAAAAAATAAATACTCCCCCTCTCTGCGCAGCGCCTCTCCAGCAAAGCGGGAGGAGAAATGGAAGGGGCTCTGTTTCTCCTCCCACTTCGCTGAAGGGGCGCTGCGCAGCTCTCCCTCTCCGCGCAGCACCTCTTCAGCGAAGTCAGAACAGCAAGAGGGATCGCTGCGCAGTGAAAGCAGCGATCCCTCTTGCTGTTCTGGCTTCTGGGATACCTGCGCAGCCTGCATTCGCTCCATAAGACGCACACACATTTCCCCTTACTTTTTAGGAGGGAAAAGGTGCGTCTTATAGAGCGAAAAATACAGTATACCCTGCCCTCCCTGGCCAAAACTGGGCTCAGGGCAGCTAACATCAAATATCAAATACATTAAAACACAATGAAACAATTGATTAAAGTACAGCTTAAAAATTAGAATCAGGATAAAATTAAATGACTGCCCACGAATTACAGCCATAGGGGTCAGGAACCTCAAATATTCCTCGGGGCCAGCTATCCATGTTGGTCCCACATGAGCTGATAAAATGGCCAAAGAGATAACTTACAGGATCCCATAGAGGGGGGGTCAAACTGGGCCCAGACCGAAGGCCAGGCGGAACAGCTCCGTCTTCAAAATTGGCTTCAAAATTGCAAAGGCTACAGTAGCTATGCTCCAGACTACTAGTTTCATCGTCACCCAGTCTCCCCAGGGAACCTTGGGAACTGTAGTTCTGTGAAAGAGCCAGTGGGATCGCAAACAACTCTCAGCATCCTGCTAAACTGCCCTTTGGGGATGGGGTGGGCTCATAGGTATGTGGAAGAGCAATATGCTTTACATATAAAAATAAGTCCTAAAAGTAACTTTGCAAATGTTATTTATATCTAATCCCAGCATACAGTGTTGGCCCGGAAGTTTGTGGAGGTCATGACAACATACAATACAACCCAGACATGCTTTCGGGAACGTACCAAGGATCAGATACGGCGGCAGCTAGAAATAAGTAAGGGATTTCCTTTATTGCTTAGTACTGCTGAAAGCTTTTCTGTGCTGTCAGGATTATGCAGGCAGTTAAGAAAATAGCCATCTATAATAGCTGATCTCCTAAACAAAAGAAGTGGTTTTTAATTTTGTATATGTCATAAACTGCTTACATATTTTTTATGAATAGTGAGATACAAATATATTTATAAATAAAATGCATATATACAAAAAATGCTATACAAATGAGAACTTTGCAATAAAATTTGCAGAATGGGGCAACAGGGTTGTTAACTGCACTACTTCCTTGATCCATACATGATTGTGGTGATAGTCCTGAATAAACTGAATGCTTGTTCTTCTGTTAACTAGGGCTGATCCCACCCCTTCCTCAGTGCCAGGCAATCTGACATATAAGATGCTTGCAGCTAGAAAAACGTACTACCAGGATGGTGAACTTGCAGCTCTCCATAAGTTGCTGGAATGCAACTTCCAGCATCATCTCACCATTGGCCATTCTGGCTGGGGCTTATCTGATTCAGGAGTCCAGCAGCATTTGGAAGACTGCATGATTCCCATCCCTGACTTTTTCCCATCCCTGCTTTCTGTAGCACGAGAACTGAACACGATTAGCAATTTAGATCCGTTTTTTCCAGCTCTCAGGGTGGCTTACAATTAAAATCCACCCCAAAATACAATAATAGTTGTGGATAGGCTGGTGCTTGTGTGTGTCAGAGCCAGTATGGTGTAGTGGTTAAGAGCCGTAGTTTCGTAATCTGGGGAACCGGGTTTGAGTCTCCGCTCCTCCACATGCAGCTGCTGGGTGACCTTGGGCCAGTCACACTTCTTTGAAGTCTCTCAGCCCCACTCACCTCACAGAGTGTTTGTTGTGGGGGAGGAAGGGAAAGGAGAATGTTAGCCGCTTTGAGACTCCTTAAAGGGAGTGAAAGGCGGGATATCAAATCCAAACTCTTCTTCTTCTTCTTCCTCTGTCCCTTGGCAATTGGCGACCAGTTTCTAGGTTCTTCCCTCTGGAGGATGAGGCAGATGAAGTTGGCAGCCAGGCAGGCAGTAATGCATTTGTTTCTAGTCCTCCTTAGTTGCACTTGAGAATGTGGGAGGGTCTGCTGACGAAACTCATTTAAACCACAGGTGGGGAGCCTGTAGCCCTCCAGTGGTTGTTGGACTCCCAACTCCCATCATCCCCAGCTTGCCTGGTCAATGGTCAGTGGTGGTGGTCGTGGTGGATTTGCAGTTCAACAACATCTCGAAGGGCGACAGGTTTCCCAGCCCTTCTTAAAAGATTACTGAATAATCAGGGGCAGAGGAAGGGGGTGCGGTGAGTGCGGTCTGCCCCTGGTGTCACCACTGAGGGTGGTGACAAAATGCCAGGCGGCACTTACTGCGGCACCTGCAGTGTGCCCGAGCCACACATCTCTCCTGGGAGAGACGCGGTGGCTTGGGCACCTGCAGGCTTCGCGCTGCCCCAAACAGTCCACCCACTGCCTCTCCCTCAGCTGTACGGCGGCTGAGTGGGAGGAGGCAGGCAGACTCTGAAGGCCCTGCGGTGCGCCTTGCCCCACCCCTGGACACCCGAGCAGCTTCCTCCACCACTGTGAATAATATAAGTGCTCTGAGCACTTGAAGGAAGTAATATATTTTATATAAATATGCCGCAATAATAATTGTTGGTAGAAGTGTAGCAGAAGCTGTCCACTTAAATACTAAGCATACGTCTGTTGCTCTTCTGATGAAGTAGCTTAAGAGGAGTCATCTCTCCACACTGTCAATTTCCTCTTGGTGAGAGGCAGACGTTTCCTTTCAGCTTCTGAGCAAGTAGTTATTTTGCAGCATGTAACAAATGGACGTCTATAATTTCTTACTAGCTGGAAAAAACACTTCTGATGAAGAGCTGGAAGAAATGCTGGAAAGTGGCAATCTTTCTATCTTCACTTCTGACGTATGTATTTCACGCCTACTTTGCTTCCCTTGTATGTATAATATTTCTGGAGTGCTTAAAATGAAAAAAAAAGGCAGTGTGCTTTTAGAATTAAGAAGTTCGGCTCACAGGCTTACAACCTAAATGTCTTTCTCTCTCTGTGTGTGTACTATTTCTCCAATAAATGAAAAAATCCAATGCATATTTTCTTCTTCCCCAAAGATTATTTTAGACACCAAAATTACTAGAGAAGCTCTTGATGAAATCGAGTCACGTCACAAAGATATTATAAAACTGGAATCCAGTATACATGAGCTGCATGAAATGTTTATGGACATGGCAATGCTTGTTGAGGTTCAGGTATGTGACCAAACTATAACTTAATTTGTTGCAGTGCAGTATTTTATTAAAACGTTTGGAGCAACAGTCAATTAATTGCATTGGACAATGTGACACCCCCTCAAAAAGCACTTAGGGTGTGTCCCATAGGGTGTGTGATAAAGCAGCCACAAAAATGGGAGATGTCATCACTAGCAGGCAAAACCCCCAAACTGTTTTTCTGTTTTGTGAGCTGCTTTTCCTTTCATTTGAGGAAAGTAAAAAAAAAAAAGGGGGGGGTGGAAATAAAAAAATATGTACAAGGGTATTTTCAAAATGTAATACATTTCTCAACTGTGCTTTGGCTGTATGGCATATTTAAGGAGGTTTGATGCAGATTTTGTGGGTAGCAGCCAATCGGATACTCAGATCCACTTTAGTTCCTTGTTCAGTTCTTTTCCTTGAGATTATATAAACAGTTGCATTCAGGTAGCTTAGTTTTTTAATTATTACTAAGCGTAATAACTGCTTTCTTATGATTGACCAGGCTTATAGCAAATAAATAATGACTCAAGTCTCCAAGTAATGTGATGCTTTGGGTGGGCTCTGTGGTTTTTCATGTTAATTAGACTCCTATTGGGGGCTTTTAGCAGTGCAGAAGTGAAACGTTGAATGAGCTTTTTAACACTTTGCTGTTTATTGCTGCTGATAATGTCTGCTGACGGACAGAACCGCACAGGTAACACTCCTGCAATATTCCCATTTTCCCCCATGTGCCATTTCCGGAGTTAGTTCATCAAACATGATATCATATTATATGTATATATACGGGCATTCTAACTGGAATTGCTTTAAAGGAAGTTCATGCAGGGATATCTCATGCCTCCAACCTAGCCCTGAACCAGCAAGGACAGTCTCCGAGTGTTTGGAGAAAACTGAAAATCTAAACGTGCTCTCCCTTACGAATTAGCTCTCTTGTTCAGACCTTGTTCACTATAGCTTGCAACAGGAGAGTTTCCCAGCAGACTGCTGCATAGTTCTGGTCTGTCTATTCCCCCACACCATCTTAACAGCACCTGCATTCTGTTACCTTATCTCCCGGTGCATAGAGAGAAGCCTAAAAAGTAGACATGGAACAGGAAAACCACACTACCGCCAGTGCCTTCCATTGAGGTGAAAGGCAGCCTGGCCTCTTTCTGCCTGTTATGCTGGCAGGCAGGAGACTTCATTAATCTTAATTAATTTCTTAATTTTTTTATTTATACCCTGCCCTCCCCAGCCAGGGCCGGGCTCAGGGCAGCTAACACCAAATATAAATTACAATAAAACGTAATAGAAAAAACAACAACAAACAAACAGTTAATTAAAATGCGGCTTAAAATGCAGCCTCATTTTTGTAGTAGCCCATAAATCAAGACCATAAAGGGAGGAAACATCAGATATTCACCCGAGCCAGCTGTCCATGCTGGTCCTACATGGGCCAGCAAAAACGCCAAGGCAAAATTTATATACCAAATCCCATATAAGGGGTCAGAGTGAGTCTAAGCCGAAGGCCAGGCGGAACAGCTCCATCTTGCAGGCACTGCAGAAAGATGTCAAGTCCTGCAGGGCCCTGGTCTCTTGTGACAGAGCATTCCACCAAGTCGGGGCCAGTGCTGAAAAGGCCCTGGCCCTAGTTGAGACCAATCTAACCTCCTTGAGGCGCGGGACCTCCAAACTGTTGTTATTTATGGACCTTAAGGTCCTCTGCGGGGCATACCAGGAGAGGCGGTCCCGTACGTACGAGGGTCCTAGGCAGGACATCATCTAAGCTGAGGTGCTGTGTAGTGCGTGTCTCTGGGATACACATGGGGAGCATGTGTTTGACCTGTGAAAACATGTCTTCATAATAATTAGGGCATGCTTACCTTTTATCTTTCTTACAGAAGCATAGTGACTCTTACGTGCAAACACTGTACAGCCCAGATCTGTGCAGCAGTGACCGAGTGTCAAATCTCGTTGACCCATGAACCCACAACACAGCGAGTCTGATCTAGCGCTGGGTGCCAGTAGGAAGTGTAATCTGGCTCACCTGAGGAATATCAGGTGTGAATGCCAGAAAAGGGAGAACATTCATCCCACTGTCCCTTACAGTAATGAGCTTGGCCCAGCGTGCTTGTGTTTGGCTGGTTCACTGTGAGAGAGACTGTTGCACAGAAAAGGCAGGTTGCAGATCAGGGCTGCTCTTGCATCCTTGGAGGGAAGGTAGTCAAGGACAGGTGAGGTGGAAAAACCTGAGCCTCATTTTGCAATGCTGGGGTGGCATTGCAAAGGGTTTCTGTATAGCAAGGTAGAGTGCTTTGATTGCATAGCTTCTCTGGCAGCCCCTTCCTCAGGGGACATATTGCCTTGGAGAGCAGTCTGGTGTCCCTGAAAGAGGGAGAAATAAATTTAATTCGTAGGAGATAAGCTGGTTCCTTACTCTTTAGGGAGTTGCTGGTTTGAAGCTTATTAGCTGTGACACATGACAATTTTTTAAAAAGTTATGATTGCAGCACAGGAAGCTGTGTGGGTAAGAGGTGTGTTCGGGTGGATGGAGAGTGTAAGATATAAAATTTCCATGTTAGAATGCCAGTCCTAAGGAAGCATATCTCATTTTTGTAGTTATGCTTTCAATTATCAGTATTTTTTTCCATGCCTGCTTTTACTGATGTGATGTCCATATGTCTTAAGTTAAGCATCAAATGTACTACTAATAAAAACCTGCCTTTTTTCTTTAAAATGTAAATTTCATCACATAATCCATGTTGTGCAATCATTTAAGTATGTTTCTTCTCGTCCTGAGCCATTAAAAAAAATCTGGAAATTTCCAGCAGTGGTGAAATAAAGCTCTGTTTCTGCTGTATGTTCTTGTTTTCGCTTTAAGGGTGACATGGTCAACAGCATAGAGAAAAATGTGATGAATGCAGTCGATTATGTAGAACATGCAAAAGAAGAGACGAAAAAGGCAGTTAAATACCAAAGCAAGGCTCGCAGGGTAAGTTTTCCTGTTGGTGAGCAAGTCTTGCTTTTATTGCATGCTTAGCTAGCTAGCTAGATGTCTTTTTCTTATTTTGGCATGACATGCAAAACCAAGATTGCTACAAAGCCACCTTTTCTGGAGCAGTCCCAAATAAATGATCAAGTTTAAGTTGGGGAAAGCACTTTTTTGTGTGTGTCACTATTATTATTATTATTAGTAGTAGTAGTAGTAGTAGTATTGCATCCTCACCGATGGAAGGAGTTGGAGAGAGGGGCTGTTTCTCTCTTTTCTTCTCCAAACATTTGTGTTTATTTGTTCTATAAACTTAAGATTTTGTCCTATAAACTTAAGGGTTAGAGTCCTACTCAGAGTGGAGCCACTGAAATTGATGAACATGACTAACTTGGATATAGAACCTAATAAAGTTACAATGTCAGAAATTGGCTTTGTACACCGCAGTCCTGTGCATGGTTTCTCAGAAGTAAATCCTGCTGTTTTCCGGTGAGGCCTTCTCATCAGTAGTTAAGAAGATTGCAGCTTAATTTTTTGCGTTAATCAGACTGATGTTACTGAAGAATACGCATGCTTGCATGGCCGCAAGGTTTCCTATTATATTACTGCTAAAATTCTTACGAATGCCTAATAATGTTGGCATCTTATTTATATTAATCTGTGCTGTAAAGCGCTCTTTGATATTCCGGTGGTATATAAACTTAATAAGTAAAATAAAAATAATAAAAATATAGTGCTTCAAAGTGTTAAAAGGGCCTTGCACACATGCATGCATGCATGTGCACGCACACCCTGAAATGTTGGGAGTGTGACACAGCTACACACCCACCTTCCCCTCTTAAACATACTTGCACATGCTAAATATTTGACATGCTACACGGCTGGGGACTAATGGTTGCTTGTTTGCTTGCTTGCTTAATGCACAGTCACATAACAACTTTCGTATGTGAACAGGCCATTGCTGATCAAATACCACAGATGCTACAAACACGATGCATTTCAGAAAGAGACAGCCACTAGTCATCAAGAGATGCAGAATCCACATTATGTCTGTGCATGTGCGAATGGGCCTTTAGGGAATTTGCTGGGCTACTGAAGTTTATTTGTCACGATTGTAGTGGACTTGCCAGAGTGTTTGGGTTTTTTAAAAAAAAGATGCAGTGGAAACGTTGCTAATTTAATTGCATGTATTGTTACACATTTTTTTCCAGCTTCCTTTTTCCACAAAGCCCTTCATTAGGACTAGCACGCAATTTTCCCTCATTGATGGGAACTGAAATTCCACAGGGTGGCATATGTGGGTCAGAAAGTTAAGCTGACCTTATACAGTCAGAATGGGTTTATTTTAAACACACTTTTTCATTCTTTCTTTTTGACCCCAAAATGGCTTTATTGTTTTTGGGGCTAACTGTACAGCTCCACATATGAACTGGTGGGATGTTAGTAAGCTATTTTTAAATTTGACACGTGGTTTTTGGCTATTCTGTTTTGTCCTGTGGCTCTCTAGTGTGGGCAGACAATCAGTTGTAACCCCCTCACCCTGGTAAGGGCAGCTGGTACTACTGGCATGATGATGATTTATTATTTATACCCCGCCCATCTGGATGGGTTTCCCCAGCCACTCTGGGCGGCTTCCAACGAAAGATTAAAAATACATTAAAACATCAGTCATTAAAAACTTCCCTAAACAGGACTGCCTTCAGATGTCTTCTAAACGTCAGATAGTTGTTTATTTCTTTGACATCTGATGGGAGGGCATTCCACAGGGAGGGCACCACTACCGAGAAGGCCCTCTGCTTGGTTCCCTGTAGCTTCACTTCTTGCAGTGAGGGAACCGCCAGAAGGCCCTCAGTGCTGGACCTCAGTGTCCAGGCTGAACGATGGGGGTGGAGACCCTCCTTCATGATGAGTATATTCCAAAGAAAAGAGAATAGGATGGATCGGGATGAAATGGTGTGGGGATATGCCATGGTAACCTTCCCCATCTCCCTCTCGCAGCCTTGCATTTATTTTCTATTAAAAATGCAAGGGGCTTCAAAGTTCATAAGTGATTTATGGTCTGGGGAAAACTCTGTGCTTCTGTATCCCACCTTGAGGTGCTTACTGTGGAATACATGGCGCCATCTTGTTTTGCTGTCAAAATTTGTGAGAGGTTAATCTGAAATGGTGATGTGGCCAAGACCACCTGTGAATTTCAGGGCTATGTGAACTCGACTCTCCTTAACCCTAGTCAAGTAACCTGTCCTCTGTGTCAAGTGTGGGGAGAAGTGTCTCCTTCAGTTCTTGAATTACAAGGGGGCATGAGAGAAGGAGGTTAGCTCTCTGAATTTTTGATGTCCCCCAGCTACTGTTTTAGAAGATGGGTGGTGGTAGTATAGCTTGGTTCAACTGGGAAGAGAGTGCATGGGGCTTGAGAGCCAGTGTGGTGTAGTGGTTGAGAGCGGTAGTCTTGTAATCTGGGGAACCGGGTTCGCGTCTCCGCTCCTCCACATGCAGCTGCTGGGTGACCTTGGACCAGTCACACTTCCTTGAAGTCTCTCAGCCCCACTCACCTCACAGAGTGTTTGTTGTGGGGGAGGAAGGGAAAGGAGAATGTTAGCCGCTTTGAGACTCCTTAAAGGGAGTGAAAGGCAGGATATCAAATCCAAACTCTTCTTCTTCTTCTTCCTATGAATGTCATTAAAGGTCCTTACCCCTCCCACACACACCCTTGGCCTCCCTTGTTTCTGTGCTGGATTGCTGTTCGATGGTGGTTATTTACAATAGATTGGCAAAGCTTCCTGACACCCCATTGTTAGCAGTAGCAACCATAAAAATTGCTCTTTTTTTTACTTTCTCAATTAGACTTGGCATTTCCGATCTGTAGTAAATCAAATGTAAATTTGTAATTGGATACACAGTTCATAAGAACATATGAAGCTGCCATGTTCCAGGTCAGACCATTAGGCAGCGGTTCTCCAAGGTTTTAGAGAACGGTCACTTTCAGCCCTGCCTGAAGATACCAGAGTTGAACGTTGGACCCTCTGCATGCGAAACAGTTGCTCTGCAATTGAATTTACAGCCCTTCCCAATGTATGGCTTTCAAGGTTCTGTGGGTAATTGACTCTCCCTCCTGTGGCCAGGATTTTGCATCTGGCTCTACCATGGCCACTATATTGCACCTGACTACTGCAGGGGTGGAAAACCCTTTTGGTTGTGCAGGCCTGATCCCAGCCTTGTGGGCCAAATTTGGCAGGTGGGCCGGGCTTGTTTTCCCTTGCCCAGTGCACAATCAGAAGAGCGCTTTGGGGCTTCTGATTATGTATTGGCAATCACGTCTGTACCTGCCCCACACCTGATGTCACACCTAATGTCGAGTGTGGGGCTTGCAGGTGTGGTTTGGTGAAAAGCTGTCTCATGGGCTAAATTTAAACCCACATTGGGCCATATTTGACCCATGAGTTGGTTTCTCCCCCTGCTCTAGGGCATGGCCTTGGAGGTTCCATTAAAAAAAACCCAAAGTAGATCCAAAAAGGCTGCATTACACCATACTGACTTTTTCAGGCTGGGTGGTAGAACGGTACTTGACATTTCTGAAACGAAGCTTTTAACACCATTTTGCAAAATTGAAACAATTGCCTTACTTTCCTTTGGCAGAAAAAGTGGATAATTCTCATTACAGTGCTGGTGGTGCTTGCTGTACTTGCTTTAATAATTGGCTTGTCGGTCGGGATTAAGTGATGCTTCGATAACCTCAGCATGCAGCCTCGCTCTGCTGTTGTGCAGTAAGTACTAATCAACTAACTTGCCGTGCATGCTAACCTTTGTTCATCGGTGATAAGTGCGGTGATTTAACACACCCGCCAAGCTGGTGGGTTACACTCAACAGCTACGTCAACCCTTAAATGTGTTTGAGAGCAGAAGTCATGTGCATAGTAAGAACTGAGACACCTAGTGGCTAGCTGCTGAATATATTTCCTTCCAATGCTTCCAACAGATTTTGGATGGAGTGATACCCGCTGGGACTAGATCTGTTTTGTATTGGTGTAGGAACACACAAGCTTGGGGGCTTACACAGATTTCATCAACGTGTAGAGAAAGTGATGGACTGGAGAGAGAATTTGGATCTTCTGCAAATTGCTAACTGGGCCTCTCTTGATCTGCATGTATTGTATTTTTGATAACATGGATGAAGCTGCTATTTTCCTTTTGTAAAGATCCTTGCTAGGCAGTAGTTGAGAATTATGTGGTATGTCCTGTCTCAAAACCCATTTCCTCCGCAGGAAGCTGCCTTACACCAGATCAGGCTGCTCAGTACTATCTCCTTTAACACTTCCAGGGTCTCGGGTCTTTTCAGGCAGGTGATACCTGATCCTTGTAACTTGAAAAGTCAGAGATTGAACCTGGGATCTTGTGAGTGCAAAACATAAGCTATGCCCATTCCCCACGAAGCCTTCCATACAGCCTTTAACATACAGCCCTTGGTTCTCACAACAACAAAGCAAAGGCTGAGTTGTATATACTGCTGCATATTTGATCCCTGTGAATATGTGCTTTGTCCCTTTTTCTTCTGTTGCTCTATTAAGTACCTGAAACGCTGATGTTACCACACAAAAGAAGAAACCTCAAAAAATGATGCGCTGTTCCCTTCTGTTAAACATGGTTCTGTGTAACTCCAAATGTTTGTTGCTCCTACACCAACATCACAGTGCTCTAGTTTCTGGTTATTTTATTACCAGAAAGTCCCTTGACTTTAGTTTTTACTTTAGTTTTAATGTGATTACCACTGAAATTGCTTGCTGTCAGGTAATTATGCTTAAGTTTGGGGGTGCATATTGTAAATTCTTGCATCTTTGAATTTATTAAATAATAATAATCTGGGGGGTAAGCTAATCACAGTTTTCCTCTCTTTGCAGAAATTGGTGTTCATAATAATTTGTGTAGCCGTAATCCTTCTAATCCTTGGAATTGTCCTAGCAGCGACTTTCTCATAACAAACAGCACATTCCAAGAGTTTGGGATCGTCTGAATCACACATGCAGGGAAACCAACGTGGCCTAGTTCTTGTAAAGATGCCTTTTCTTGCCATAATGAAAGTTTCTTTTGCAGGATTGGCCATTTACTAGCTATTTAAGTAGTCAATAGCACTTACGTTTTACTCCTGCAAATCGGAACCAAATTGTAACCACGGTTGTTGTTTTTTCTTCTTCCAAACAAGAAAAAGCTGGAAAGCCTATCATATGGACATGTAACCTTAAAAGCTGCTAAATCTTTTCTGCACTAACTAATTTGAAGATGAATTCCAACTTTAGGTACATCAGTGTTACCAGTATAGAATTAGGGAATTAGTTTGTGGTTTTTTTGTTTTGTTTTTTTGCCAGAAGCATTCAGCTTTTGAAATTTGGCTTCGTTTTCCCCACTATTAATTCATCTTCTTAGCATAACAATCTTGTTTAAAATTAAAGCAGCCACGTTCTCTAAATAACTGTTTGACTTCAATCCTAAACACATTTACTTTGGAGGTGGGTCGCACTGAAGCAACTGGATTTACTCTGAAGTAAATGTGATTGAGATTGAGATGCGAAGTGGCTTTCTCTTGTCTCCAGTTTTAATGTTGAAAAATGGTCTTAAACTATAGGTCTTAAGATTTGTGTGTGATATTTTTAAAAAAGCAAGTAATTTTTTATATTCATTTTTATTAGCGCCAAGGCAAACAAGTAGAAGTTGAAGTGCCTCTGTAACAGTGACCTCATCAACTCTTTGTTTTTAAAACTTAAACTCTATTATGAATAACTTTTAATCTGTGCTATAAAACTGTTTCTTTTTAAAGACGATCCACTCCACTGTGAAGTTTGCTAAGTGCTCTCTCTGTGTGTTCTTTCAGAGTTTTGTTATAAAATGCTTAAAGGACACAAGATTTCTTGAGATGAATGAGAGGTGCTCACATATTCTGCAGTCCATGCTAGGGAGCCTTCCATTCACGTCAATGGAGGGGAGGGAAGCTTTGCATGCTTCTTCAGCCACCTCCACTGAAGTGAATGGGGAAGCCTTCATGGGTGACACTGCTCCATACACGCACCAGGGCCCATTGGGAAAAGGATCTTTGGGTCCACGTTCTCTTCTCTTGTGCAAGTCCTGTTAATTTTAGCAAGACCTGCAACTGAGGCTGATTTAGTGGGCTGTGTTCAGAATGCCTAGTAAGAAAATGGGCTGCAATAAAAAAAAATGTGATGATGGAGCAAAGATACAACTGTCTTGAAGCTTGACTTAATTTTGAAATACTTCCAATCTGCGGTATGTGCAAAGGAACTCGAATGCGCACAGATCAGATCTGCGTTAACAATATTGGGTGTAATGCAGTGAGCCACTTCTTTGCCCAGGAGCAAAAATCAAGGTATTGCTTCTTTACCATTTCTGTTTGGTCCTTGAAGAGTGGGTGGTTGATCAAGAGAAACTGGCATGTTTATACTTTAAAAATAATAATAATAATCTTAAATAAAACACTGATTTTGTTGGGGAATTGGCTTCTCAGTTTCCAAAACATGAATGAAGTGTTTGTGACGGCAAAAGCTTCGATCCAAAGAAAGTTGGTTGCACTGAAATCCTACTGAAATGAATGGGACCTAACACACATAACTTCCTCTGGATTTGGGGCCAAAGTGTCCACCTGTTCGCAACTTTTAAGCATTTCTGAAGTAACCCAAACGTTTGAATTTTGTTGGTTATTTTTTGTATTGTGTTTATTACTGTGTAAAATATTTGTAAGTGTATTTTGATTTGCTACTGTTTAAATATAGTAATGTCAATATTTATGCTGAAAGAGAAATAAACTATAATGGGTGCCTTTTTAAAAAACCAAACCAAACCAGAATGTGGCCTTGAAATGCTTATTTTTCTGTGTTGTGTGTATAATAGATATGTATATATGTAAACATAAACCGCAGGTATATTTTGCCTTGCAATGGCCCCCCCCCTGTCATTTATTTTACTTTTTATGTATTTGAAAGACTTACTGTTAAACAATTGCGACGCATGCAGTGACCTAAAAAGGTGTCTGTAATAGTGGCTATTTCTGATGTGTATAAATTATTGGAGCACTACAAATGTTCTGTGGAAAGTGTTCACCCTGAAAATATGGAGACTAGTAAATATAACATTCCAAATAAGTTTCTTGATGCTTTAAAAACACCAACATAGGATCTCTTTTTAAATATAATATTTTTCTAAATATTTGAGTTGGGAGTGTGGCGTGAAGACATTGTGTAGCATTTCCAGGAGACTTATTGACACATAACCTTAATTGTTCATTCATTCATTCATTCATTTCTTTAAAATGATTGCTGAACATCTTTTGCTATTTAATGCAAACATCTGTAGGAATAAGTTACTCACTACACGTTGTAGGAATAATTAATTATTTCTGTTAAAGTGTTTTAAAGTTCCATTCCCTATGTAGCCACACCTTGAAATTCCAAGACATGCACATCTTGCAGAGATTAATTTTGGGGAGGGCGGGGGGCAGGCAGGCAGAATGATACCTTCTAATAAATGCATTGAAACAAAATATTTGTTTCTTAACTTTGGAACAAACCATTGGCCACTAGGGGACAGTGAAGTTTGCATTGAAGACATGCATCATAATGTATCTAGAATCATAGAATTGTAGAGGTGGGAGGGACCTCAAGAGTCATCTAGTCCACCCCCTGCAATGCAGGAATCACAGCTAAAACATCCGTGACAGGTGGCCTTTCAACTTCTGCTTAGAAACCTCACCCTGTTAAGGAACATGCACCAGGCTTTAAAAACAACACCCCATCATCCAGCTCTTACGACATTGGAGAGTTGCCGTTATTGCTCTGACACTACAGTCTTTGCTGTGCTTGTTTCTCCCTTTCCTGAGTTTCTCTTTCCATCAGCACAGTTGTAACCTTCAAGAGCTGTTAGTTGAACGGCTTCTATAGTCAGCTGTGAATAAAGCTACTGGTTGGTTAAGAAAGCTGAATGTTTTCTGTAGGCTAGTGAGAGTTGGGGCAGAGTCTGTGCAACTGTTGAAGCTCTTGAGAGGTGGACCGGACTAAACAAGTCCTCCTTGGTAGTTGGAACAGCAACGGTTGCGGTTGCTCCTTTAAACAACACAATTATTACCAATGAATTGTAAAAATTCCAAGAAGTGTGGAAGGGAATGCCTCCCTGGATGTGTGCGTGCCCTTCCGATGATATTTTCCATTTCCATTTATTGCATTTAGCAAGTAAGGGAGAGAGAAAAGCAGGAAGTGTGGCTTTTAACAAAAATGGGAAAACAGAATTAACTTTTTGAATCCCCCCACCCACCCACAGCCTCTCTGAAATGTCCTTTTGATATGTCCCCGTGCCTCGTATACCTTGCTAAATATAGCCGTGGTACAGACACAGGCCAGCGGGTCACACTCTGCACCTGTGAAGCAACATAAGCCATGTACCACGATCGCCTTCTCGGTTTATGCAACCATCGGTTGCGATCCCTATTTTGGTGAACGATACAAAGCACCGACAGCTTCACACGGCCGACGCAGGAAAAGGAGGGCAGATAAATCCTAGGAACTGATCAAGGAAGCAGATTGTCCAGGCGTGCAGGCATTTAGTAGACTCATAACTCATCTTTGTCAATTGCTTTAGGGGGTTGGAAATGGAAACGGTAAGTTGCATGGTTTTGATGTTTGAAAAGAATTGTATACAGCACCCTGCTTTGCTCAGAGCAAACTTCTAATAGGAAGAGGCTGGAATAAACCACAAAGTTACCGATCAAAGCAAGATAGAAAATGGGTATGCATTTTTTACTTGGAGGCGTATCTGGGCTTTGATTTGGTGTAAAAGAAGACGAAAGAAAGAAAACGTTTCTCAACTATACCATGCTGCTGACGACTTAAATCGGAGTGCACTGTTTGGGTTAGATAATGAAAGTGATGACTCCAATGCTCTGTCCTGCTAGTAAAGGTAAAGGTACCCCTGCCCGTACGGGCCAGTCTTGCCAGACTCTAGGGTTGTGCGCTCATCTCACTCTAAAGGCCGGGAGCCAGCGCTGTCCGAAGACACTTCCGGGTCACGTGGCCAGCGTGACAAGCTGCATCTGGCGAGCCAGCACAGCACACGGAACGCCGTTTACCTTCCTGCTGGTAAGCGGTCCCTATTTATCTATTTGCACCCGAGGGTGCTTTCGAACTGCTAGGTTGGCAGGCTCTGGGACCGAACGACGGGAGCGCACCCCGCCGTGGGGATTCGAACCACCGACCTTTCGATTGGCAAGTCCTAGGTGCTGAGGCTTTAACCCACAGCGCCACCCGCGTCCTGCTAGTACTGCACCTTAAATTCTTCACGGACTTCCCTCCTTAGTAAAATGTAATTAAAATGAAATATTTTCAGTTCATCTTTAAGGCTTTATACGTCAAAACCAGCACTTTGAATTGGGTCCAGCAGCCAGTGCAACTGGGCCAGGATTGGTGTTATAGGCTCAAACCGTCTTGCCCCAACCTGGCCACTGAGTTCTGCACCAGCTGAAGTTTCCAAACCATCTTCAGAGGCAGCCCTGCGTACAACACATTGCAGTACCTGGCTGCCTCCTCCTCTGAGCTCAAGGCCATGACAGACATATGCATTCCAGTCCACATCCATTTAAAGACACACAGACAAACCAGATCCCAGCATATCGTCTCTTTTCCATCTCCTTGGTAACCACACATCTAGATAATACACTTTACTAAGCATCCTTGTAAAGTTAAGGGAGGGAAGCATAAACTGTGTTCTTGGACTACAACTCCCATAAACCCTGACCATTGCCCATGCTGGCTGTGGTCCAGCAACATGCCCCATCCCTGACTCCAAACAATGGTGGATTTCTAATTTGCTGATTTCACCTCTGTTACAAGATCCACCAATTTGGAACTGCAAAATCTGGAGAGAAATTTGGAGAATTTCAGGAGTATTTCTCTACCTGCTGACTGGGTGAAGGTCAAAGTGCAAGCCTTCCTCAGCTTCTTGCTACATTGCTGACAATGGTTTCTTGGAGATATACAGTGTGGAGCTCCGGCTTGAAAGTTCATATTTGAATCTAGCTCACGAACCAGGTAATTCGGGAACCACCTTTGAGATATTCTTCAAGTGGAAGATTTTCTTTTCCCCCTCTTAAGGTACCCATTATGAGTGCAGGCATACACAAACACATATATCAATGAGTAAATCCAAGCATATGGCAACTTGTTCTCTTTTGCTCTACCGTTCACTTGACATGTTAATGCTTAATAGGAACCTCTCCTGTTAAATATTCATTGGCCAAACTATCAGTGGGTAAAGCATCACAGTTTGATTTAATTTTCCTGACACCGTTCATTCACAGCAAAATGAACTGTTTCGAGAGAATGAAAATTGCATTTGCTGAAGGCGTTGCAATTGAATTACTTATTCTGAGGTCCGCACCACAGCCTGTTCATAAGGGCCAGTTAATATTCCAGTCCCCAAGTGGTGTAGCCATGGACATTTCAAAGGGAAACCTGTTTTGTCGTTTCGAAAATTCAGGCTTTTAGTGGAGAGTACCAGATGTGAGCAAACCTGGCATATTTATCTTCTGCTTTTTCATGTTTTTGGTGAGCGTTTGTGAAAGGAAGGCATACCGTTTGTTATACACCACTGATTAAAAGTAAGAGGTGAAGGTCAGGAAGGTATCACAGGTTTAATCTAGGTGAAGGAAGATGATATGGGTGCTGTGAGTCATCAGACTCAACATGAAGTCAGTCATGTCACTAGAACACCTATGATATAAATAAGATAAAATAAATTGTAGTGAATTAGCCTGAGACATGTGGCACTGAAGGTAGGGGGGCTTTAACCCTTTGTCCCATCATGGTTCTGATCCAGAACACGGCCCCAGTGCTGTTTGCCCCAGGAGGAAGCTCTACTCCCTGGAATTAGATTGTGAAGGGGCAAAGAGTTAAACGTGCCCCCCCCCCGGTCCATCACAACAATCCCTATCTGCTTCATCTCACTTTCTCCAGCAGCTGCTGCTTATTAAAACCAAATCACGGATGGGTTAGTGACATGATTGATGCCATGAGCAGTATGATGTAGAAATAAACATAGCTTTGGGGAAAGTGCCTTCCATCTTTCCAGGATGGAAGGCAAAGGCAGCTTATTGACTGGAATCCAATGGCACTGCCCTCTGAAATCCCTAGAGCCATTTCTTCGCAACTAGTTTTTGTGGCTGTTTTTGTAAGTCAAAGGGGTAGGTGTGTGAGATATTGATACAAGAGAGCAAGAGAGATTTCTTAGTCAAAATGAATATCTCACAAGTAAGAGCGTCTGTCATGTTGTATTTTGGACGGAAGCAAGGACAGCTTCCCTGTATTGTTCGGATTCCAACTCCCACCAGTCCTGGTCAACCTGGTCAAGGATCAGGAAAGATGGGAGTTGTATTTCAACAACTTGTGTGGTTGCCATACTGGTGACCCCTTGTGTAGATAATACTGAGCTATATGAACCTATGGTCAGACTGGGAACAAGATGGATTCCAATGTGCTCGCCCCCCACCTGGTGAACACACAAACACACAAAACTTTAAAATCTCTCCTCCCCCTTTTAAAAAGTGGTGTCCTGCAAAATGCACAAGCTTAGTCATCTACATTGACTGCCATGGTCCTGGTCTGTGGAGCAAAGGAACAGAGAAAACATCTTGAAGATAACCTTTGATGAGAGAAAGCGGTTCAGCTAGAATCCCTCTTTTTGAACCCAGGCTTGAAACAAAGGGTAGAAGGCTGTCCTTTGATAGCCCTTCAATAAAGGAGTATAAATTAGGGCAAATTTGCCCCCTGCCTCCCCAAAGAACAAAGATGTGTGAATGGGGCAGATATGTGAAAAGAACCACGTGATTTTTGCCACCAACATCAAATCCCATTAGACTCCTGCTCTGATGCTGAAAATTATAATTTTTGACACCTAATACAGAGAAAGGAAGTCTCGGTGGCTCTCATATTTGAAAAGTATATGCAGTGATGAAACAACATTTGTGGGCTTACAAGAAGCTCTATGAAGATCAGGAATATTGTAATCAGGAATATTGTAAAAAAGGGAAAGGAGGGAGGAGAGGTAATTAGTATAAGGCAATATAAAATTAGGAAATGCGTAAGAAATAACCAATATGGAGGATTCATAGAATCATAGAGTTGGAAGAGACCACAAGGGCCATCGAGTCCAACCCCCTGCCAAGCAGGAAACACCATCAGAGCACTCCTGACATATGGTTGTCAAGCCTCTGCTTAAAGACCTCCAAAGAAGGAGACTCCACCACACTCCTTGGCAGCAAATTCCACTGTCGAACAGCTCTTACTGTCAGGAAGTTCTTCCTAATGTTTAGGTGGAATCTTCTTCTGTAGTTTGGATCCATTGCTCCGTGTCCGCTTCTCTGGAGCAGCAGAAAACAACCTTTCTCCCTCCTCTATGTGACATCCTTTTATATATTTGAACATGGCTATCATATCACCTCTTAACCTCCTCTTCTCCAGGCTAAACATGCCCAGCTCCCTTAGCCGTTCCTCATAAGGCATCGTTTCCAGGCCTTTGACCATTTTGGTTGCCCTCCTCTGGACACGTTCCAGTTTGTCAGTGTCCTTCTTGAACTGTGGTGCCCAGAACTGGACACAGTACTCCAGGTGAGGTCTGACCAGAGCAGAATACAGTGGCACTATTACTTCCCTTGATCTAGATGCTATACTCCTATTGATGCAGCCCAGAATTGCATTGGATTATCAGAAAAGCTGAGGGAAGTCCATAATGAATGTAATTTGTGAGAAAATATGTGTTGTGTTTTTTATAATTTTGTGTTGTAAAACTAATAAAAATATTTTTTTTAAAAAAGAGAGGACACACCCTGAGCGGGTCTGCAAGAAGACGTTCTCTGTCAGTCCCTCAGTTTCATGCCATTATAGGCCTTGAGAATTGGGCACATTAAATGCCTTTGCTTGCCCAGCTGATCATTTTAGCCGCGTCAGATTTTCTTCCTGAGATTTTGACTTGGCCTTCTTTGACCCTAGCTTGGGAAATAGTTTTCCCTAGCTCCTTCTCTCTCTCTCTCTCTCTCTCTCTCTCTCTCTCTCAAATGATAGGATGAGCCTTCCGGCTGCGTGGAACAGAACTCAACAGCAGAGGGCGGCTGCTATCTGTGAAGGGGCGTCTCCCTGAGGGGTTTTTGGAGAGGTGCTGAGCTGTAGCCTTATTTGTTTTGACTGGTGGGTGAGGACGGCAGAAGGAGCAACGGTCCCCCTGTTCCACATAAAGCAGGCTTAGCAGCGGATACAAGGGTTTCTGCCCTTGAAATTCTGAGCAAAGCTTAAAGACTTTCAGTCAGAAAAGTGACAATCCTCTGTGGTGCAGCCCACGCCAGACATTTTGCTCCCTGAGGTACAGCAGCAAAGGAGACGTCACCAAGCCAAGGTGCACACTAGAGTATTCACGGCTACTCAGGTGTTTTGGCACCTGAAGCAGAGAAGCCCATACATGCCTCTTCCCCCACCCTGGCAGTAAAAACTCAACAAAAGTCTGTTAAAGAGCTTAACAGCTTCATGGCACCCAAAATCAGTCACCTGAAGTGTTTGACTCAGTTTACCTCATAACAGCCCTGCTGTTCTGCTTTTTGAATAATATCTTCTTCTGGTAAGGGTAGTCATGTGTCCTACTTAACACAGGACAGTCCTCTATTTTAAGCGATCCTCTGTTTGAAGAGCTTCCCAGTTTGAGTCTAGCTTAAAGATGAGGAGTCCTAAGAAACGAGAGCAGCAGGGGCCTTGAAGGTGCCATCAATTGGGAGCACCTGTCACCCAAGTCACCTGCCCACAGACTTCCCCTCTATGTTTAGAAGTAAAGGTAAAGGGACCCCTGACCATTAGGTCCAGTCATGGCCGACTCTGGGGTTGCGGTGCTCATCTCGCTTTATTGGCGGAGGGAGCCGGCGTACAGCTTCCGGGTCATGTGGCCAGCATGACTAAGCCGCTTCTGGCAAACCAGAGCAGTGCACAGAAATGCCGTTTACCTTCCCGCCAGAGTGGTACCTATTTATCTACTTGCACTTGACGTGCTTTCGAACTGCTAGGTTGGCAGGAGCAGGGACCGAGCAACAGGAGCTCACCCCGTTGCAGGGATTCGAACCGCCAACCTTCTGATCGGCAAGTCCTAGGCTCTGTGGTTTAACTCACAGTGCCACCAACATCCCATGTTTATAGGTATTTCATTTCTATTTAAATTACAGTGGTCCCCTGGTTCTCAAACACCTTGGTTCTCAAACGCCGAAAACCCGGAAGTAAGTGTTCCGGTTTTCAAACATTTTTTGGAAGCCAAATGTCCAGTGTCACTGTCTGCTATTGTTTCTGGGGCGCTTGCACCAATCAGAAGCTGTGATTTGGTTTTCGAACATTTCGGAAGTCAAATGGACTTCCAGAATGGCTTAAGTTTGGCGCTTTTGTTTTTGCTGTTTATTTTGCATTTTTGTTTTTGAGGCTTTTTTGGTTAATTTGTTTTTGTGAGTGTGTGGAATCCAGTTCAGCTACTGATTGGTTGACTGTGTGAATGTGGAAATAGATAAAAGCCCCCCCTCCGAACAATGACTATTTTCAGTGCAGGTAATAAAAAATAATAATTTTAATTTTTATCATCGATAATAATAATAATAATAATAATAATAATATTTATTTATACCTCACGCCCAGCCAAGCTCAGGGCGGCTAACAAGCAATAAAAAAATAAGTCGAATGAATACAACTTAAAAACAAGATTAAAATACAACATTAAAATATTGAAACATTAAAATATTAAAATGCAGCCTCATCACAGGAGGAGAAAAGGAAAAAGAAGAAAGAAAGGGGGAGGGAATCAAATTGGCTCCAAGCCAAAGGCCAGGCGGAACTACTCTGTCTTATAGGCCCTGCGGAAAGAAATCAGATCCTGCAGGGCCTTGGTTTCATGAGGCAGAGAGTTCCACCAGGCTGGAGCCAGTGTTGAAAAGGCCCTGGCTCTGGTTGAAGCTAATCTAACTTCTTTAGGGCCCAGGACCACTAGGGTGTTGTTATTTATGGACCTTGAGGCTCTCTGTGGGGCATACCGGGAGAGGCGGTGCAGTAGGTACGAGGGTCCTAGGCCGTGAAGGGCTTTAAAGGTCAAAACCAGCACCTTAAATCTGACCCTGTACTCCACCGGGAGCCAGTGCAGCTGGAAAAGCACTGGGTGAATATGAATTTTTAATAATTCCAGTAATTTAGCTTTAGTATGTATAATGGGACATGAATCCAATATCTCCATTCAGATCAGGTCTCTCCATAGTTTTTAGTTTGGTAATGAGTTGTAATTCAGCAACTTCTCTTTCAAGTGTATTTCTAAAATTCTTCTGCAATAAGACAGCTACTTTAAGATCCTGTATAGAATGCAGTTAGAAGCTAATTTTGGTCATCTATCCCTTTAAGAATCCCTTGCCCTTCCCTGTGGAACCAACTGGCCATAACAGTCCTCAACAGTTATAGGGCTGAAGTATCTGACGAAGTGTGTACAGTGGTGCCTCGCAAGACGAAATTAATTCGTTCTGCGAGTTTTTTCGTCTTGCGAGTTTTTTCGTCTTGCGAAGCACGGTTTCCATAGGGTATTAACGGTTTTAAGAAAAAGGAAACAAATTTGCAAGACGTTTTCGTTTTTCGTCTTGCGAAGCAAGCCCATAGGGAAATTCGTCTTGCGAAGCAACTCAAAAAATGAAAAACTCTTTCGTCTTGCGCGTTTTTCGTCTTGCGAGGCATTCGTCTTGCGAGGTACCACTGTATTACACACGAAAGCTCATACCTTGAAAACTTATATTGAGCTGATCTTTAAGGTGCCACTGGAATTATTAAAAAAGATTTTTTCGTCTTGTTATTTATTATGACTATGACAGATTAACATGGCCTTCCACCTGAATCTGGTGTCATTCGTAGCTGACCTCTCCCACGCACACTGTCATAGGCGATTTATTCCGGTTTTCAACTTTGGCTTTTGATCTCAAAACGTTTTGTTTATCACAGCTGATTCCTCTGTTCGTCTTGGTTGGATTCGGAGGGACCGGCCTGTGCACCATGTGCCTCGCTCTTCGCAACCCTGATCTCAGGTAAGTCCCACCCCTCAGGGCAGGATCAGCCCTTGGCCTGGTGCTGACAACTGCCATCCCCGCAAAACCACGTCACGTGCTCCCCGCCTCCCAGTGGCGCTGGGTGTCCTTCACTGATGGATGCGAGGCAGCGCTTTTGAATGGGACCTCAGCTGGACTCCCATCCGTGGCAGCTGCCCACTACTTTACGCAACTCAGAATTAATCACAGGGATCCGTGGCCTGAGAGGATGGGGGTGAGCTTGGCTTCTTATCAGAAGCGACACTGCCACTGAAGAGCATCTGGGGACCCAGTGGCAGGGACTGGTGGCCTGGCTGGGCCAGGCTGATAAGCACCCTTCCAAGCTCCTTGGGGGCAGAGCTTTTGCCACTTCTTTAAGTGTTGCATCTTAAAGCGCAACCTGAATAAAATATGACCTGCTGGGCTCCAGAGGTAGTATAATAATAATAATAGTTATAAAACAAATTATAAAACTACAGTAAAACATTAGTGTCAGCTTCTTCGCTTTAGAGTAAGAATACCAACCATATAAGCATTGCCATTCCTCAGCCGAGTTGTATCCAAGGCATTGCAATGAGCGGTACAGCATAGCTAAATGAGCTGCGCCCCCCCCATTGTGAGGGCTGAGGGTGTGATGGTGATGCCTCCCCAGCTGCTGCCATTGTCTGTGGGTTGACTGTGATGCCACAAAAACATTTGGCAGCTGAGCGGGTATAAATGTGGGCCAAGGCGCAAGCCTCGGCAGTTGCCCTTCCCAGAGAGAAATGGGCAGCTTGGTGGCACTCAGCCCTGGTGGTCTCCTGCCCCGTGGCAGCAAGCTGACAAGCGGAAGGAGGCAATCGCCTGGTGCTGGGATGCTGTGGAGCAAGGAGAAGGCAAGTACAAAGTTTACTTGCTGGTGAGATCGCTACCTGAAGGCAACGGATATTCAGCTCTGAAGCTGGTTGATGTCTGGCAATGGACCTGGCGAGGCTGCAGCTGGTGGGTGGTTGTTGGAAGAGTTTGCGTTCAGGCTAGTGGATGCCGTGAGGCTACGCTGGCTGAGATGGATGCAAAGTGGTTTGGAAGCCTTGTTTGTTAACAGGCAGCCAAACAGAGGAGGAGTCTGGGGGGACGCTGTTGGATGGGGGCCATCCCACTCACCTGTTTGCCTTTGCCTTACAGGGATGTCCGGAGCCGGTGAGGTTTTCCCCAAGTCCAGCCTTCAAAGTCATGAAGAGAACTGCAGGACGTCCCAATTTACGTTGGAGAAATGAACGTGAAATACTGGGAGTGAACAATGGACAAGGCCGTGGCCGTACCTGAGAGAAGGAACTTTGAAGGAAGACTGCAGGCAGACATCTGCTGCATTGCAAGTGATGGGGCAGTGGGAAGAGAGAAGAAAATGAGGCAGGAAACATTAGGCCACATTAGGCGCACCGTCCATTGGAAGTGCTATGAAGACGCTTTGAACAGGAATGGCTTCCCCTCAGGGATTCTGGGAACTGTAGGTGGTTAAGGGGACAGAGAGTTGTTAGGTGGCTTAGTCTTAGGCTTAGGCTTAGGCTTAGGGGTAGGGGTATGGATTAGGAGTAGGGTATGCGTAGGGGTAGGGTAGGGGTAGGGGTATGGATTAGGAGTAGGGTAGGCATAGGGGTAGGGTAGGGGTAGGGGTAGGGGTATGGATTAGGAGTAGGGTAGGCGTAGGGGTAGGGTAGGGGTAGGGGTATGGATTAGGAGTAGGGTAGGCATAGGGGTAGGGTAGGGGTAGGGGTAGGGGTATGGATTAGGAGTAGGGTAGGCGTAGGGGTAGGGTAGGGGTAGGGGTAGGGGTAGGGGTAGGGGTAGGGTTGAGCTGGGGTAGTGTTAGGGTTAGGGTTCCCTTCTTGTCAGGGAACTCTGGGATTTGTAGCTCGGGTTAAGGGTTAAGGGTTAGCGTTAGCATTAGAGTTAGAGTTAGCGTCAGGGGTAGGGGTAGGGGTAGGGTTCCCTTCTTGCCAGGGAACTTTGGGAGTTGTAGCTCTAGTTAAGGGTTAAGGGTTAGCGTTAGGGTTAGAGTTAGGGTTAGTGTCAGGGGTAGGGTTCCCTTCTTGTCAGGGAACTCTGGGAATTGTAGCTCTGGTTAGGGAGTAGGGTTGGGGTTCCCTTCTTGCCAGGGAACTCTGGGAATTGTAGCTCTAGTTAAAGGTTAAGGGTTAGTGTTAGGGTTAGAGTTAGAGTTAGGGTTAGCGTCAGGGGTAGAGGTAGAGTTCCCTTTTTGCCAGGGAACTCTGGGAACTGTAGCTCTGGGAGGGGAACAGGGGGTCTCCTAACAACTCTCTGCACCCTTTTCAAACTACAGCTCCCAGATTCTTGGGGGAAGAAGCCATGAGTGTTTAAAGCGGCTTCATAGCACATGAAATGGTGTGGATGTGGCCCTGGCCTCCCTCACCCCACTGCCCCTTATTGTTGAGGAATCGAAAAGATTTCCCCATGCAAATCTCTCAGAAACAATGTATTTCATCTGGAAAACTATTTAATAAAGATTACTTTTTATTAAAACCTTTGAATGTGTTTGAACTGTGTTTGAGTGCGCAGAGAATGATTTCACTTGAAAGCAATGCCCTTAGATTACAGAATCATGGAAGAGTTAGACGGGACCACGAGGGTCTTCAAGTCCAGCCCCTGCAAGACCTTTTGCTCTACGTGGGGCTCAAAGGACGGCCCTGAGACTAAGGGTCTTGTGCTCTACTCAATGAGCTATACGGATTGATCTAAATAGCAAACACCAATTATTTATTTTTTACAATTTACAGTGGTGTAAAATAAAGGGTGTAGGAAATGAAATGATTGTTGCCTTTTCATTGTTTAAGGATGTTTTGTTAAGACTTTTGATTCAACACACTTATTTCAATATACAGTTGTACCTTGGTTTTCAAACTTAATCCGTTCCAGAAGTCCGTTCTTAAACCAAAGCATTCTTAAACCAAGATGTGCTTTCCCATAGCAGCAGGGGACTCATTTTACAAATGGAACACACTCAATGGGAAGCGAAACATGCTCTGCATGCAAGGCAAAGTTCACAAACCAAAACACCTACTCCCGGGTTTGCAGTGTTCTTAATCCAAGTTGTTCATAAACAAAGCTGTTCTTAAACCAAGGTACCACTATATAAGCGTCAATAGACTGACCTTTTAAATAGGAACCTATTCTTTATGTTTCTAAGCAATTTTTAACCTTTCAATTAATTCACCAATTTTATAATGGCTCTTAGTACCATTAAATAATACCTTACAGTGGTAACTTGGTTTACCACTCTCAGCTACTTTTTGTTATACAGCAAAGCTAACGCATTTTAGGTCTGCATCCTCAAAGAAAGAAATTTGAAAACTCTTGGGGCCTAGTTGGGGGTGGGGACTACACAGGCCTAGGTGGGGTAACCTGTCCTCTCCCCCCTTCAAGGTTAAGAACAGGTTAAGAACGGACCTCTGGAACCACTTAAGTTCTTAACCAGAGGTACCACTGTAGCTGCTTATGCATTCTCTTGCTCAGCAAGGTCCTGTTGGCACAAAGCATTTTTGGCAGTGTAACAAATATGCCACTAAGAGACCTTAACGTAGTGCAACATTTGGAGCTTTTTTTTCAGCCAGAGCCTGCTGGAGTGCAGATCCGGCACCTCTCATGTAGGCACCATTGCGTGCTGGGGCTCCCTCCCCCCAATTCTTGCCTTTACATACTTCTGAGAAGCAAAAACCGAACATTTCAAGTACCGTATTTTTCGCTCTATGAGGCGCACCAGACCACAAGATGCACCTAGTTTTTGGAGGAGGAAAACAAGAAAAAAAATATTCTGAATCTCAGAAGCCAGAACAGCAAGAGGGATCGCTGCGCAGCGAAAGCAGCAATCCCTCTTGCTGTTCTGGCTTCTGGGATAGCTGCGCAGCCTGCATTCGCTCCATAAGACGCACACACATTTCCCCTTACTTTTTAGGAGGGAAAAAGTGAGTCTTATAGAGCAAAAAATACGGTGAAATCAGAAGCTGGTCAGCATGTGAGTCTACACTTTTTTTAGGTGTATGACTAGGTAGCTCCTAGCCGCCCTTAACTTCAATTGGTCAAGCTATGGGGCTGGGCCAGTTTGTTTTACATCTCCCGTGTAGTGGCAGCAGGCTTTATGTATGTGTATTTATGTATATGCATGTGTGTGTGTGTGTGTGCGTACACACACAGAGAATACATAGAAAAATTGTAGACTGATGAAATACTGTCTGATACCATTATTAATATGTAAAATCATCAGCTAAATGAAAAAGAGACACAGAATAAAATGGAAATGGAAATTAAAAATTGAATGCTTTTAAAATGACCTAATCAATATGCACACATTTACTCTCTCTTTATATACCCACCAACAGAGCAATTTATTTTTCCTCTCATACTAGGGATGGGAGAGAAATTTGATTTGGTTCCCATCTGAAAGTGAATCTATCCAATTAGCACTTTCTGAAACAATGTGGGAACCAAAACACAGCCATCTTTTGAAAATTGCACTTATGCACATTCTGTGATGCAGTTCTCCAACCAACCAACGCTTAGGGGGCGGGGACTGCATACATTAGGGGAATGTGTACATTGAAAATTGCTCTGTGATTTTAAATCTCTGCTGGGGTTCTGTCCCCAGTTGGGGAGTACTTGCCCCAATTAGGGTTGCCATATCTTGAAGAGCAATAAAGAGGACAGCCTGAGTTGCTGCCAGCCCGAGCTGGGGAAAGAGGCATGTGGATGTGGGGCCACTGCCGCCACGCCCGCACACCTCTTTCCCAACTCGGACTGGCAGGGAGCAACCATAATCCTCCCCCGTAAATGTAGGACAAGGTAAAACTCCTCAATGATATTGATTCAAACCTAGACAGCATCTTAAAAAGCAGAGACATCACCTTGCCAACAAAGGTCAGTATAGTAAAAGCTATGGTTTTCCCAGTAGTGATGTATGGAAGTGAAAGCTGGACCATAAAGAAGGCTGATCGCCAAAGAATTGATGCTTTTGAATTATGGTGCTGGAGGAGACTCTTGAGAGTCCTATGGACTGCAAGAAGATCAAATGTATCCATTCTTAAGGAAATCAGCCCTGAGTGCTCACTGGAAGGACAGATCCTGAAGCTGAGGCTCCAATACTTTGGCCACCTCATGAGAAGAGAAGACTCCCTGGAAAAGACCCTGATGTTGGGAAAGATGGAGGGCACAAGGAGAAGGGGACAACAGAGGATGAGATGGTTGGATAGTGTTCTCGAAGCTACCAGCATGAGTTTGACCAAACTGCGGGAGGCAGTGGAAGACAGGAGTGCCTGGTGTGCTCTGGTCCATGGGGTCACGAAGAGTCTGACACGGCTAAATGACTAAACAACAACAATTAACTCTATTCCCTGCTCTCTTCTATTTTAGCAAGCTGGTAGTCTACCATCTTCCTCCACTTCCTCCTCATTCAAGCAGCCATCAAGATCAGCAGCTAAAAACACTCGGCCAAAGAAGAAAATGGACCTGGTCCACAAGCAGGCCCCAAAAATGCAGAACCTTGCTGGCCAGTCTTGTTCTGGCTTTAAGGATGGGCTAGAGATTTGCCTGCTTCAAGCTGAGTGTGAGGAGCTCAGGAATAAACTTGGGTGCTTGAGGGTAAATATGAAACTCATACTTCTGTTGGGACTGCGATGAACCAAGGGGGAGGGATGTTGATGCTTTTGTTATAAAAGCTCTGGAATCTAATGAGCTGAATGAGCTGAAATGAGCTTCGGTTCCTCTCCCTAGAACTGAAACTTGGGAAAAGGTGGGAGGTGGGGCCCAAGTAGTAATGGAAAGGTAAAGGACCCAATTGCGGACGACTCTAGGGTTGTGGCGCTCATCTCGCTTTACAGGCCGAGGGAGCCAGTGTTTGTCCACAGACAGTTTTTCCAGGTCATGTACCCAGCATGACTAAGCCGCTTCTGGCGAAACCAGAGCAGCGCACGGAAACGCCGTTTACCTTCCCGCCGGAGCGGTACCTATTTATCTACTTGCACTTTGATGTGCTTTCGAACTGCTAGGTTGGCAGGAGCTGGGACTGAGCAATGGGAGTTCACCCCGTCGCGGGGATTCAAACCACCAACCTTCTGATCGGCAAGCCGATGGTTTAGTGGTTTAGACCACAGCGCCACCCGCGTCCCTAAGTAGTAATGTAAGTACTGTAGGTCTAGTTTTCAGTTCTACCCTGCAGTGCTGTCTCTGTTTCGCTGCAGTTCGGCCTCTGCCCAAAACTGTTTTTCACCTTGCTGTCCACGGTGACAAAATTACAGGTCTTAAATAAGTAACTACTGTATGTACATTTATATAATGAATTACATAAATTATGTCATCCTTACATTGTTCCACCCCATTCATTTTAAGTGCAAAGGAAACATAAATATTTAGCAAAAGCTGAACAAAGACAACTATTGAAGGGGAATTGTTTGGTTTTACAGGAAGGACTGACGGGTCAAAAGCCGAGTGACGTGGAGGAGCTGATGAAGAAGTCTCAGATGGAACTCCTGTGGCTCCAGAGGCAGCCGTCTTTTCTCTCCGCCGAGACAGCTGCATGCATTTTGCCATC